ATTAAATTCGACAGTATTTTCATAAAAAGCGCCCCCGAAAACATAAAAGTCGACCCTGATATCGATTATATCTGAAAAGTTACAAAAAGTCGATGGGGGGTGGGGAGGGGGTGGTGCAATATCGAATTCGACATTATTTTTATAATTAGCGCCCCCGAAGACATAATATTCGACCCTGATATCGATTATTTCAGAAAAGTTACAAAAAGTTGATGTGAGAGGGTGGAGGGGGGCGCAATCTCAAATTTGACATTATTTTTATAACTAGCGCCCCCGTAAACATAATAGTCGACCCTGATATCGATTATATCTAAAAAGTTACAAAAAGTCGATGGGGGCGGGGAGGGGGTGGCGCAATATCAAATTCGACAGTATTTTTATAAATAGCGCCCCCGTAAACATAATAGTCGACCCTGATATCGATTATATCTGAAAAGTTACAAAAAGTCGATGGGGGAGGGGAGGGGGTGGTGCAATATCGAATTCGACATTATTTTTATAATTAGCGCCCCCGAAGACATAATATTCGACTCTGATATCGATTATATCAGACAAGTTACAAAAAGTTGATGTGAGAGGGTGGGGGGGGGAGCGCAATCTCAAATTCAACCGTATTTTCATAATAAGCTACCCCGAAAACATAACAGTCGACCCGGATATTGATTATATCTAAAAGTCGATCGGAATGATTATTTCAGATTTCACATTATTCCTGAAATAATCATTTCAGATATCGTTATTCCTGAAATAATTTATTCCCGAAATAATCATTTCGGAAATAATGGTCAGATTATTTCATGAAATAAATTATTTCGGAAATAACTATCGTGGTTTATTTAGGGATTTATTCCGGGAATATTTTTCAAATAAATTCTGCCCAGGTCTAGTTCAAAGTAGTGGGTTATATTAAAATTTAGAAATTTATTTATTTTTAAACATAATGGAACAGTTATAAAACACTTATATCCAAACTTGTAGTGCATAAATTAAGATAGAAGAATTTAACAAGCAGAGATTTTTTTTTTTACAATTGAATAATTTTAACAGTATCTTATGTTTAAATTCAGCGTAAATTGTCCACTGCTTTCTTAAATATTTTATAGACACGATTTATTGGTGCAGTTAAACTTCTGATACATCGCAATTAAATGATAATTAAAAAACTTCATCTTTACGGAGCTAGAACTACACTTGGAAGTACCATGTTTCAATTGGTACAGTCACATGGTGTAAAAAGTTCAAATTAGTCGAGTTAAATTAAAATGAATTTATTTATTTTCCAACATAACAGGAAAATCGTTTAACATTTACTTTAAAGATTCAGCATTATATATATATATATATATATATATATATATATATATATATATATGTGTGTGTGTGTGTGTGTGTGTGTATAAAAAATTTAGTAATTTAACAAGCAGTAACACTTATTCAAAATTTTAAAATGTATCTTATTTTTAAACATTTCAATTTCTTTTTCAAATAGTTTGAAAATGATGATTTATGTGTATAAGCAGTTTTATTTCATAAAATAAAATAAATATAAAGATTTGTATAGAGGAACCAACATGAAACTTCTACAAATATTAACAGAAGTAAATGAAGTTGGGGACTTATATGTTTTACTCGTAAGAAGTACAATATAGAAAAATAAATAATTTTAATTATTTTCTTCCAAGTCATAGACAATTGTTAAACATTTATGTAAATGCTCGAAGTTATACAGGTATATATGAATTGGTTAATCGAACTGTCAATAATAAATAATAATTTATTTGGAATTTTTATCAGTACCTCATTTCTAAAACGCATAGAAACATTTGGGTTTCTTTCTCAGATAGTTCAAACATGGTGATTCGTTAGGAGTTGCAATTAACATCTTTCAAAACAAATACAAAATTAAATAAATAACAACGAATAATAAATCAATTCCATTATAATGAAATGCACTTGTTTATAGCCGACTATGATGTGAGGGCAAAGTACAATTTTCGAACTTACACAGACACGTAAGGTCCAAAGTTTAAACAATTACTTTTTAGAGAATATTTCAATTTGCATTTATTTCCTCTTCTAATAGATCATAGAAAATATTCATGTACATTCTATTAGTTTTATAATTTCATTCACTGAGGTATTGTTAATTTAAAGATAAACATTTATTAAATTCGCCATTATCTTATTTTGCAACAACTGAGAAGCTTTTTCGTTTTTTTTTTTTTTTAAAGTTTTGTAAATTCTTATTAACAATAATATACTTCATCTAGCTATATCTGAATTACTACGAATTTTACGAAACGCAATGATACACAGTTGACACTAGAATGAGGTGACGATGCAGTATGCCAGTCTTACCACCCTTCAATAATAAATACTAGTATTATTGAATTATTATTATTATTATTATTATTATTATAATTATTATTATTATATTATATTATTATTATTATTATATTATTATATTATTATTATATTATTATATTATTATTATTATAATTATTATTATTATAATTATTATTATTATAATTATTATTATTATTGAATTATTATTATTATTATTATTATACTAGTATTAATATATTATTTTTTTAGAATATCGTAAATCTTTGTGCGCATGCTCCTTAAAAATGTATATACATCGTATGTTTAAAGATTTTAAAAAATAAAATTAGTCAAGAATATGAAATTAACTCAAATTAGTGCAACCATGTTATATCTAACAATAAAATGATACAAGAATATTAATACTTGTTATATGGTAAAAGTATAATAATTCCAAAAAGTTCATAATTTTAACAATACACGGGTCAAGTTTCTTACTTTCTTCGGGTCAAGCGCTGAACTCATCGTTCTAAACTAGCCGAAAAGATTTCACCAATGAGTTCATTGCTGAGTTTAGGAACTTGGTCATATTTATACACATACATATTTCCCCATTATTTTCTATTGATGTTTCAAAACAAAAAAATGTTTTTTAAAGGTATGAAACAAGTTCACCAAAAAGAGTTTTCAACGGAAATATACGTTTTGAGGTACCTTGAGTACAAATAACCCAGTCCCGCAAAATGGTCTGTGTGTGTGTTAGAAGTCTAGCAAAAACGAAAAGTCGTACGAAACTGATATCACGGAAATACTAGTCAGAAGGTATAATCGCTGGAAAGCGGAGAATTTTAGAAAAAACAATATCTAACGGTTTGTTAGATAGAAAGTAATGGAGAGTGGCAAGTTTATAAATAACAATTTGTGAAAACCAATATTACTTAACGGAAATCACATGTTTTCAAGGAATTTAAATGAAATTCACTAACTAAATGTAAACTTTTTTTAAGTTTGAAAAAAAGTATTTAAAATCTACCTTATCAAGGCAATGGGGTTGTTAAAAAAACTATTTCATAGTACTTACGTGAAATATAAATGAATAGTAAATATAATGAAATATAAATATAAATAGTTATTACTGTTTAATAACTCAAAATATGGTATTTTATTTAAATAATTAGGTATCAACGTCCATTTATTTCGAAAAATCATCATGTAACCTTTTAAAAAAATAATTTAATGAGTTTTCCCCTTTGTTAAACCCAAACATTACCGGCTTAAAATTATTGTAAAAACATTTGACCTGTCTATGGCAGGCAATGAAAACTCATGAGTTCTTTTAGCATTGATATAATTAATGGGGTTTTTGTTATTTTAATGGTGCTAGTGATTTGTTAGCTGTAAACTTTAAGCTACAGCTCTCTTAAAAGTGCACTTCAAAAATTTTATAATTGCTTAACATTATTAAACTATCATTTCTATTCAAAGTAGAAAGGTAAGTGGCAATTGTGTTGCGTGGACAAGATTTTTTTTTATTTGAAATAATTAACCATTTTATATTAATGTTTGATATAAATAATAGTTAATATAAAATATGAAAGAATTTGATAATTAACTAAAGGAGAAATAAGAGATTGTAATGGAGAAACCAAAGGAATAGTAGCCTACCAGAGCTCACCCATAAGATTTGTACAAAGTTCCATACGTAACATGAACTTAATATAATATGGACTCTGACAATATTATGTACATGTACATATGTGGTTTTCATAAATGCTATCGTTGGTATTATTTAATATTTAATTGAATAGATTACAGCGATATCAAAATAAAGATTTGTAAAAATATATCGGCAATTAAACAAATAAAAAGTAAATAAATAAAGTGTCAATAATTTTTACTTTCACTTTCCCTTTGTCCGAAAATACTTATTTCTGCGCCAGATATTTTTAATATAATTTCTTTTGAAACTTGCTGCTCTGTTAGAGGCTTAGTTTGCTGACTTCCTTCCACCCAATATTTTATATGATTCATGTTTTACTATGATACATTATAATAACAAGAGTTCATTTTACATAAAATACAGTCTTATTTATGCTGGCCTCTCTCTCCCTCCCCTCAGAAAATATTTCTTTATACCATTTAGTTCATCCTACATTTTATCAAACTCAAAATATTGCTATTTGATCAGTAGATTGATCAAAAATTAACTATACAAAGTTTTTTTAAATGAAGAATAAAAATAATATTTCAGTAGTTTTTCAACTTTATTTTTCTATTGAAGATACCTGAACCAAGAGATTTTTCTTTACTGTTGAAAATTGTAAAAAGTGTAAATATTTTCAGTGACATGAACTTCCTCAAGTATTTTTTCACAAAAGTACAATAAAATAGTTTTAAAACACTTTCACGATAAGTTGAAGCATTATAAATCTATATTTTGTCTATGAAGCTAAAAATAATAGTAAGTTTCTATTTAGTTTGGAAATCTCCTATGGGTACAAGATAATGAGATCCTGGTTATCAAGGAGTTAAAGATATTTAAAATGAATTATTTAGAGGATAGTTGATAGAATTAATATTAATTAGTCATAAAAAGATATCAGAGTAGAAAAGCATATATATAAAATATTATGTACATAGTTAGAAATAAAGATCATGTTAAAAATAACTACGAATTGAAAATTTACAGTTTTAATTTTATTTACAATTTTATATACATATATAAAAATATTCTATGTACATTTAAAAAATTATACATCTTATATCAGTTTATTCTTCAAATTAACTGATTCAACAACACCCTCTCCAAGGATTTTAAATCCTTCTAAAATTCCCTCAACATTTGGATCAAGGATAATTAAGTTATCGTTGCCCAATAGAGGTTTCCTTCCATTTACACTTGTAACCTGAAAATAGGAAATCAATGAAATGATTATAATGTTATAAAGAGGCTTAAAAGTAGTAAGTAATTATATTAAGTGACAATACCTTAAAGTCTATCCTCTTCAAAAAATCTGGTTTAAATAAAATACCTATTTCAACACCTCCATGAGGATCATAGAAAAAAAGAGCGAAATCGGAGTAGTTATTCTAAAAAAAAAAAAAAGGAGGTACAAAAATTATTTCTCATTGTAGATAATCAACAATATTAACAAAAAATGAAGCACTTACTCTTAGATCTTTTACATAGAGGTCAACAGGATTGAACTCCAATATAGGCAGCACTGGATTTCTGTCAGATTTACGACCGAAAGGTATGCGAGACAGGTCTCTTTGAAATGTTTCTTCAGTCCTGTACTGAAGTTTTTTATCCAACTTAATGATAGCATCATAGCCAGACATGGGAGGTTGAAATATACTCTGAAAATAATATATTTAAGAATTAAATTAACATTTCTGTTGTAATACAGTAAGATATAATGGGTCCTATAATGGAAAAATATTATATTATACAATAGTGTCTGTTAAGGAGTAAAGGAAGTGGGAGAGAGGAGGGAAGGTATAAGAGCCATTGCTAGTCAGAACTCCACAAAAATATGTAGGATTAGGTGTGAGACTTAAGACCAGTATTTAGCATATGAATAGGTTTTTTTGGGGAGGAAGCGGGGTGACCGAGTTGATTAACGGGTGTGCACAGCACCAAGGGTTGCCCGGCAATCTGTATTAGGCCTATGTATGCTACTCGAAATGGTATTAAACCGACCTTTGTAAACGAATTATAATCAAAGATATAAGATATAAATGGGTTATAAGTTTTTCTTAATCTCTAGCTTGAAAAGAAAAGAAATCCAAAAATTATTGATGTCAGTTATAAGAGCATTAATTCAGGTTTCCAACGGTTGTATTAAAGTTGAATTTGAAGAAAATCCTGAGGGATTATGAATACTTTAGATGGCAGCCAGAAAAAAAATTGTACAAGGAAAAAAGTACTAATGGTCGTATATATAGGAATCCATATTTAAGAATTTTAAAGGACCCTTAAAACGAACCTAACTTACGTTTTCATAACAAAAATTCACTTGATCTACTATACTGGAAGTGCTTTTCGGTTTTTGTAATTTATGATACATTTAACTCATTTAACATGATAGTCAATATTTTTCTCTTACTTGCACAAATAAAGAAATCGATTGATATATTGTAACCTAAAAATCTGGGCAAAGCAAAGGCAAAAATAAATTTCATTTGAAATCATATAGAATATATATATATATTTTTTTTTCGGCTCATTGGACACAGAGTATTCGTGGAGTGGACGAATGACGGGATATTCATCCAATGTTTTTCGATATAGTATTACCAAAACAAATTTTGTTGAAATCAGTGACCCACTGACTATAGCCCCTCTTTTAAGTAAAAAGAAATTAAATGAAAAATTCTTTGTTATCCTGGGACTAATTCCCTCTAGAATAAAATAGTGGCCCTACTCATTAATGTAAAAGAAAATTTATACAGTAAATAAAACAACAATACATTAAATAAAAATATGAAAAATATAATCTTAAATTATACACGCACAAGAATATAATCTCGCAAACATTAGAAATATAGGAGGAAGTGCTTTGTAGATAATTATATTGATTAGAATGGGAGAGGAAAAGTTAGTTGGATATGAGAGATTTGAACAATAAAAACCGTTGAAGCATGGTGAATGAAAGGCAGGATAGAATTCCAGAAGGAGGGAGCTTGGGTTGGGAAGGATTTGTCAAATGTAACAGTTCTGTGGGGAAGAGAGTAAAAGTCAGAAGGATGAGATCGGGTGAAATGAATTTGGATAAATTTTAAATTGCAGGCTCTGTAGTATGTAGGATAGGAAACAGAATAAAACTTAAGATAATCTGAAGAGTTGCATTAGTTTTAGTTGCATTCAGCCAACTACCTTCTCCTACCAAACCTTTCTCCTCCTCTTCTTCAAAATGTTAAAATGAATAAATATTTACTTCACTGACTCATATCAGACAGATTAATAAAATGAGTAATTGAAGACAATTGCATATGATCAAACATGAAAAATACCTTAAAATTTTCAAAACTTTGAAAACCTGTATCTCGTTAACAATTTGCTTTACCGAGCTTGTTCAGGTCTTAAATTGTAGCATCTAGTTTAAAAATATATAGTATGATTTTTGTTAAAAACCTGTGAAAATATAGCAGTTTTTGGGATATTCAAAATTGATCCGGGAAAAGGGAGGGTCACCGTAGGCGAAAACTTGGATTTTGCATCTCAGCCATATCGTATACAAGAAAATAAAAAGAAACCTTCTAACCCAATTCAATGCAACTTATGATGTACAACATTACTGGGCTATAACTTATAGAACCAGTTGTGTCTCAGTCATCAAATTCGTATCACACGTTCCTGTCCTAAAGACATAAACTATATCAATTTCATAATTTTTCACTCAGTCGCTTTTGTTATAATAAACATACAAAATTGCCGAAAACAACTTTTGACCATTTTTGAAAATTCATATTTAAAAAAGGATAAGGTTTTTAAAGTTAAAATTTCATCAGCACAAAATATAGTCACATAGACTATATGTGAAAAAAAAAATCAAGTTTAAACTCTTTTCTTTATTATACTTTTGCAATACTAAAAGTCTCGATTTATGTTTATTTTCATAATGTTTTAAAACCACTTTTCTTTCTTTTAAGATGATGTATTGATGACAGAAATGTGGGAAAAATTCTCTAAATTATTTTTTGGTTTGATATCTACTTAATTACCTAGTTAGAGACATTTTCCTAAAACATGCATTCAGTCGAAAAGCATATTCAAAATGGCAGCAGAGAAAATATTGTTAGTCTTAAATTTTTTTAAACTATTGTTTTGAACTCAAATAAATATGGAATAACTGATAAAAAAATTATTAAAAAAAAAAAAAAAAAAGTGATTTCAAATGAATTGACCCTGGTGGACCCTGCTATTTCTCTCCTTTCAATGACTATAAAAATTTTTTTTTTCATAAATGTTATAAATTTTGGGTTTTCTTACACAAATAATATTTTTTGGATTCCTCTTCAAAATATTCATCTGAAGGATCTGAAGTGACGTTGCTGCTAACTTGGCTAAGCGGATAAGCACAGGCAAGGTGGGTGCTACTCTGCTCCATATTGAACCACCCTTATCATAAGGAGTGGCGAGAAACAAGGTTGGGTAATTAGACCTTTCCTTGCTAAACACCTCTTCTATCTCAATTATTTCTTCTTCTATAGAATAGAAAAAAAAATATTAATAGTAATATGTACTTAGACTAAAAGAACTCTATTTTTCATTATTATAATTTAATTTTTTAAGTGAAACATTCTTTGAGAAAATAACTGCAAGAGCATCAAAAAGCTATTTTAAAACAATAAATATTTTACAGGAGAACAGATTATAAAGTTACTATAGGATGATCATTCAAAAAAATTATAATTTAAAATTCACTAAAAAGTTATCAAGAGTTTTCATCTATAATTACATCAGCTGTAACAGTTAACCCCCTTAATTTAAATTATCAGTTTTAACAGCATATTAATGAAGGAAGAGGTTAAGAATTGAGAAAAAATTCTAATTAGTCTGCATGGTAGTATTTTCTTAAGAAGCATTACAGTTGATTTTACCTTGCCTCAGCCTTAACTAAAACAAAAAAATTAATAACCATACTAAGCAGTAACAAGCTCAAATATCTGGTGTTTCTACCCATACAAATTTTCCAACTATTTTGGCTCCTAACTCCAATACAAATTGTTAGTCATATCTTTGCTAATATTGATCTGATTAACATATTTTATGTAAATAATTTATTTATCTATTAATCAAGTATTTCAAATGTTCAATGAAATGTATAATTTTTATTTATTTTAAAAACATATAAAAATCGAACAGGTTTCTAAGATAATTTGGCAAAAATACTTTTAAAAATATAAGAACAAAGTCCAATATAGCACATCTTTGCTAATACTGCTCCGATCACAATGATTATGTTTTGTAAAAAATTAAATTAACTTTTAATCAAATGCATAGCTCACCATTTATTGAATACTACTGAGTTATGCATGAATTCAATTTACTTTCCATCATAAATTTTTACTTTCACTTCAGTAGAGGAAAGTTTTGCGATTGTGAAAATTTTCAAATATCAATACGTTTTGAGGTCACTTGAGTCCAAATAACCAAGTCCCGCAAATGGTCTCTCTTGCAAAATAGGACTTCCTTTTATAAGTCTTAAAGCCCAAAAAAAAAGTCTGTGTGTGTGTATAGTCTAGCTTAAAAATGAAAAGTTGAACAGAAATGAAATTGCATATATAAGGTTTTTATATACCTGGGATGTTACAGCAACTTTTTCATGTAAATCGGCTAAGCGGAAGTGGTACGTTACATCATCGATTTATTAGATTTTTACGATTTTCTCAAAAATGGCTCTAACAATTTTGAGTAAATTCATTATATCAGTGTAAAATTAAGTTTTTAATATAATGTAGGTTTTATTTTCATTGATCTCTAATAGGGGTTAAATTACTAATTTTCAATATTAGCTTCCCCTAAAGTACCTTTAATTTTTTTTTTATTTGAAACAATTAATTAACTATTTCACATTGATTTCTGATATAAAAAATAGATAAATACAAAATATGAAAGAATTTAATAATTAACTAAAGGAAAAATAAGAGATCATAACGTAGAATAGTTGTAATGGAGGAACCAAAGAAATATGAGCACGCTCATCCGAAAGAGTAGAACAGGCTTTCATACGTAACATGAGCTTAATATATAAGACTCCGATAATATTATGTACATATACATATAGGTTTTCATAAATGCTGTTGTTAGTATTATTTAATATTTAGCTTTATAGATTACAGCGATATAAATATAAAATTTGTACAAATAAGGAAACTTAAAACAAATAAAGATACCCAAAATGAAATATAAATAAATATAGCCTCTATCATTTTTACTTTCACTTCCCCTTTGCCTGAAAATACTTAATATACTAAGAAGAGAATGGTAAGTGAAAGTTGTGTGATGCTCGCACTGCACCAGATTTTCTTGGGGATGTTTCACATTAGTGTGACGAGACATTTCACTTTTGAAGGGATGTCCTAGTTATAGACAATATGTAGAATTGTCATGTTAATGCTGGCTTGAATGTATAAAACATAGAAATATATATAGCATTTCCAAGTCAATTTCAACCTTTTCCAAATCAAATTCAACCTTTTCCAAGTCAAATTAAACCTTTTCCATTTCAAATTCAACCTTTTCCATTGCAAATTCAACTTTTGAATTTTTGTCAATTTTCGATTTTTTTCGAAATGAAGGCCACTTACTATATTATCGAAGGCATAGCTTTTGAAAAATACAAAACAAAATTTGATAACGCGGTATATCCATTTATATTAACATTTTAGATTTTTTCAGTGTATTATTTCTATGTCATATTCAATTATTTCCAAGTCAAATTCAACCTTTTCCAAGTCAAATTCAACCTTTTCCAGATCAAATTAAATGTTTTCCAAGTCAAATTCAACCATTCCCATTTCAAATTAAACCTTTTCCAATTCAAATTCAACCGTTTTCATTTCAAATTAATGTTTTAATTTTTTGTAAATTTTATATATATTTTTTAAAATAATGGCCATCCCCTCCCCCTCCAATATGAAGGTCTATTATTATGCTCTCCTAAGTAGAATTTTCACTTACGGATATCGATTTATTGTACCTATTCGGATTTATTAGGGACTAGTATTATGCTGTCCTGTACCTAGTTTTTAAAATAACCTCCATTTTTAAGATTATGCCACTGCGTTTGGACTTATTTAAGTTTTTTTGATTTATTCGATACAAGGGTGTATTATTATGTTTTCCGAGCAGTAAATTATGAAAATAAGCTCCATTTTATGATCAGGCCACAGCGTTTTGATTTAAGTTTTTTTAATTTATCCAATATAAAGGTCTACTTTTATGTTTCCGGAGCCGTAGATTTTGAAAACAACCTCCATTTTAGGATTAGGCCACCGCATTTCGATTTCTTTAAGTGTTTCGAATTTTTATCATAAAAGAGTGTGTTCTTATGTTTCCGGAGTCGTAGATTTTGAAAATGACCTCCATTTTAAGATTACGCCACTGTGTTTCGATTTCTTTAAGTTTTTCGAATTTTTATCATAAAAGAGTGTGTTCTTATGTTTCCGGAGTCGTAGATTTTGAAAATGACCTCCATTTTAAGATTACGCCACTGCGTTTCGGCTTATTCAAGTTTTTCGAATTTATCCAATTTAAAGGTCTCCTTTTATGATGCCGGAGCCTTAGTTTTTAAAACGACTTACATTTTAAGATTAGGCCACTGTGTTTCGGTTTTTTTAAGTGTTTTTGATTTTTCCTTCGAATAAAAAACAAAATACGAAGGATTAATTTATTTTTCAATAAATAAATAAAAATATCTAATCAAAATAAATAAAATATGTATTGTCTCATTTTTAATATAATTTTAGTTATCTTTTTTAATGTTGTGGTCTCCTGTCAGAAAATTATAAGATTTCGAACAATTAGCTGAAAAATCTGAATACGGAAGGTTAAATTTATTACCGGCTGCTTTTCGGCTTTTTAGTTTGTATTCTGTGGTTAATTTCACTTTAGCTTCATAATATTTATTTATTTATTCATACTCGAAAACATATTGATGGAACTTTGTATTGAAAAAATCCAAAATGAAGCCTAATTATTCGAGATGCAGCGGCTTAATCATAAAATGGAGCTTAAATATTAGATAAATTTAAATATTAAAGATTAGAAAAATTTTAATACGTCTCGGATAACATATAAGTAGATCCTTATACCGAAAAAGTAAAAAAAAAAAACTTTTATATTCCAAAACACAGTGGCATAAACTTGAAATTGGGTCATTTACAAAATGGGGGAAATCTACTGCTCCAGAAACATAAAATTAGACCTTTATACTTGTTAAATTCTAAAAACTTAAATAAGTTGAAACGCAGTGGCGTAATCATAAAATAGAGGTCATTATCAGAATCTACGGTTCCGAAAACATAAAAGTTGACCTTTAAATTGGATAAATTCGAAAAACTTAAATAAGTCAAAATGCAATGGCGTAATCATGAAATGGAGGTTATTTTAAAAATCTACGGCTCAAGAAACATAAAAGTAGACCTTAATATTGGATAAATTCGAAAAACTTAAATAAGTCAAAACGCAGCGGCGTAATCATAAAATGGAGGTCATTTTCAAAATCTACAGCTCCGGAAACATAAAAATACACCCTTATAAAAAACCTGTACCACTACAACCCATGAAGGGTCTGGGGTTCAGTACTATTTAGGGAAAGCACTGTTTCTAGGTCAACCGTTGTGCAAGGAGGTGATTTGACCGAGATCACGCTCAACCACCAGGTTTTCCCCCTTAACTAATTATTTAATTAAGGGTACCCACTTTAGAGTCTGGGTGTGCCACAGGAGGGACTTCTAACCCAAGGTCGCCCCACGGCCAATGAAACAGATAAATAAATTTTCTGCCATGAGCCGGGGTTCGAACTCGAGACCTTTGCATTGGAAGCTCAGTGCCCTACCACTGAGCTACCCCGCTCCCAAAAATACACCCTTACATCGAATAAATAAAAAAAAACTTAAATAAGTCTAAACGCAGTGGCGTAATCTTAAAATGGAGGTCATTTTCAAAATCTACAGCCCCGGAAACATAAAAATACACCCTCATATGAAAAATATCCAAAAAACTCAAATAAGTCGAAACGCGGTGGCCTAATCTTAAAATGGAGGTCGTTTTCAAAATCTACGGCTCCAGAAATATAAAAGTAGACCTTTATATTGGATAAATTCTAAAAACTTAAATAAATCAAAACACAGTGATGTAAACATAAAATGGATGTCGTTTTCAAAATTTACTGATCGGGAAACATAAAAATACACCCTTATATGGAATAATTAAAAAAAACTTAAATAATTCGAAACTCAGTCACGTAATCTTAAAAAGGAGGTTATTTTCAAAAACTACTCATACGATAACAGACCCACACATCGAAAAATTAAAGATAATTAAATAAATAAAAAAAGGTTTAATTTGAAATGGAAAAGGTTTAATTTGAAATGGAAAAGGTTGAATTTGACTTGGAAAAGGTTGAAATTGACTTGGAAATGTATATATATATATATATATATATATATATATATATATATATATATATATATATATATATATATATCCGCTATCCAAATCAACCCTTGTCTTTCGATCTTACTCTATTCTCAGGAGTGGCCCAGGGCTCTAGCAAATATCCTCTTCTTTTTAGTTCCTATTTCAACGACCTCCATAAATCAATCCTCCACTGTTCCCATCACCTCTATGCTGATGATTCCCAAATTTACCTTGCCTTTCCTCCCTCTGAGTTGATGATGATGCGTTAGCCAAAATCCAAGAAGACCCAAATTACATCAGTGCCTGGGCATACATAAACGGATTAAGATTAAACGCTGATAAAATTCAAGCCATTGTCATTGGTTCCAAAACCCTCCTCAAATCCAATACCAACATTCCTATTCTGTACCTAAATAATAATCCTATCACCTTCAACTCCTCAGTTAAAAAACTAGTCATTTTCATTGATCAAACCCTCTCCTGGAATCAACATATTGCTCACATCTCTTAACAGTGAATTTGTATCCTCAAACTATTCCATCGCTTACACCATTTCCTACCTATACCCACATGTAGACTCTTAGTAACCTCCCTCATCTTCTCCCACCTTGACTACGGCTGCGTAGTGTACGATCATCACTCGTCCTATGTATACAATCTCCTCCAATTTAAATCATCTAATCACTCCCTTTCCAGAAGATTACGTCCTTCTGACCTTTACATCCTTTTCCATAAATCTGATTCATTTCAATATTCCTTTATTGTCTGCTCCACCACCTTTTGTAATTCTATCCCACTTAAAATCCGCCATGTACCATCCTTATCCACATTCAAAACCCCCATACTCCAAATCTCCTTCACAATCCAATCAGCCACTGGTTAATTATGTATTATGTAACAAGGAAAAACCTTTTTTTTCCTTTTCATACACCATTATTTTATTTTTATTATTTATGAATTGGAAAGATTCTGTATTACTTTTGGCATAGCACTGTGATGCATAAAAAATAAGAGATTGTTTGTTGGTTTTATCCATTTTTTTTTATATATACAATATTATAGATATTTTAAGTGATTTTAATTTGTATACATACATATCTTTTCCTATCTTAATCTCCATGTTTGTTTATAGTTCAGAATACCATTGCGTATTGTATAACATATAGAAATATTTTATTTTATTTTAATTAGTTTTTTTTTCTTTATGTCGCAATTGTTTTCTCCTAAAATTAATCACATATATATATATGTATGTGTGTGTGTGTGTGTGTGTGTGTGTGTGTGTGTGTAAACAGCAATTGATATGAAAATAATAACTGCTAATTATTTTAATAAAATATTATTTACTATGATGAGAATTACTTACTAGACAACAGGTTGTTCAAATTCACTATTACTGGTACTACAGCCCAGTCAGTAGTAGATATCAAATTTAGAAATCTAAGAAACATAGGAAAGACTGTTAATGAAACAGTGTAAGGCTGTGGAGTCAAGTAGAGTGAAGCCATAAGGAGTTCTATTAAAATTGTTGGAAAATGACTGTCATCCATCAGTTGACAAGAAAACCACCTCTTGGCGAGACAAGTGGCTGGGCTATAACTAGAATATTTTTCACTCAACCTAAAATTGAAATAATGACCAGTTATTTGTCAAGGCTATAATAAAACAAGCAATGAACAATTATCAGAATGAATGAATAGTAAAAACAAAAATAAATAAATCAAATCTAAATCTAAAAATTATATATAAATTTCTATAGAACAAACCCATAAAGTGCCCCAGTAATCTTAGGAAGATTTATAAATTTCTTTTCAAGTTCTAATGATTCTGGAGTGTCAGTATACTGTTTAACCCCTAGTTCAGTTATCTTCAACTTTAAAAGACCAATTTCTTTTGAATAACCTAGGAAAAGGCGAAACAAATAACCATCCTGAAAATCATTACAAAATTTGTATTATTACAAAATAACGAAGTGGAAAATAAAAATTAACTTATAAAAGAATTAACGAGGTTCATACCTTATTAACTACAATATAATCAGTAGTTAACTGGAATGATAAATTACATTTTTTTTTTAATGCTGCGGAAATTGCTATATTAAATGCAGCAATCAATCTTTTACCAGCATTGATATCATTTGGCCATTTTTGTGTAACTGACAGTTGAAGAACCACTGAAAATTAAATTTATTATTTACTGTTAAAAATATTAAGATCAATAAATATCAGGTTTCAAATATAATAAATTTGTCTCTACTTGGTGCTACTAGGATTGAATAAAGCCAGGATATAACAGAACTTCAGACAAAGAAATCAAGTAAAAAGAGAAGTTTACTATTAGTAATTTAAAAAGCAGGAGTTACTTCATATGTAAAGATTATTGAAATTACAATTTTATAATAAATGTTGAGGATAATTTCATTCTATACTTATATAAATATCAGAATAGGAATTTGAAAAAAAAGAAAATAAACTAATACATACAGTCAATCGGAGAGATATATTGAAGGCGATAAGAAAAATTTCCATCATCAGGAAAAAGCCTTCCTTTCACTGTATCATCGACAAGTGGAGCAATAATTTTATGGAAGGCAGGCTTTTCAGGAGGAAAAGGATCAGTAAATCTTAAACAAAATAAAAATTCCCTGTATAATAAAACTTCAAAAATGTAATAATATATAAAATGTTTCTACATTTTTTTATTGCAATACCTATAAACAGGTGATATACAATGCACGCTGACTACTTGCAAAGGTAAATCAGGAAGATCTCTCAACTGCCTAGCTAAATCTTCAAAAGCCAAATGAACTTTGCGACATTCTTCTTCTCGTTCAAAGTTTGAACCCTAAAATTAAGAAAACAAGGTGTGTTTTATACAAGAATAACATGAATTACATAAGCAATTTTGAAGTAAATACTGAATTAGAAGCATAAAAACACATTCTGCACTTTTGAGCCAACAAGTTTTCATAAATTACGAGATATGTTAATGAAATATTTGATAATAGATATAATATACAGATTAATACAAAGTCAATAATTGCGTTAAAAGTTGGATTCCATTATTAATTAATCAACAGAAAGGTGTATACCTTAATAATAATATCATTTAATTAATAAGGTTATATATATATATCCATATATTATATTATTATCTAATAATAAGGTTTATAACTGTATTGTGTATTATATCTTGTGTTAACCATTCGGTATAATTAGTTATTTTGCTCTGTTTTGTCGCTATTTCTACCCCAACTCTTCCGAAAATGATACCTTTTTTGTTCAAAATATATATTTTGGTAGGTTGTTCTTGATAGAGAAATCATTCAAATGTTGTGATTTCATGTTCCTGTTGAAGAAAGTATGATCACAAGATTATCAAGGTATGATGAAACAAAATAAAGATCTTGTATAGAATGATATATCTTTGGTAGGAGTAGGCAACATTTTTGAGTCCAAATTACATGTGAAGCGGCAACAGATTCCCGTCTCTTGCTACAGAGGACAACTAGTTCGCCTACCTGCTACCTGGCAGCATCATACAAGCTCGTCCGGCAATGTACCAAAAATTGTATTTTATTTCTTATTGTTATATGATAAAAACGCTCAAATTGTAAATTGAAATATGTATATGCATTGTAAATACTTTTTATTAATAAAGTTTAATGGCGATAACATAAACTGATCAAAGTTTAAAAATAAGTGTTATTGTAACAGCTCTTGATAGACAGTTTAGTCTTGGCGGAATGAATAACGCAGGAATATCTCAAATTGTTAGGTCTTGAAATCTCCACCCCTTCAGGGTGTAGAACTTTATGCAGATGGTCAGTATGTGATAGCTATAAGCCCTTTGGTCTCCAACAAACTGTTTTATTTCACTTTGTCTATTAACCTTTTTCCTCTTATCTTACTCTATACAAGTTTGGACGCTGATCCGTCCACTTGTAATCCTGTATACTAAGTCAGAAGGTTGATCCCTCCATTAGTATTTTATCCTCCCACAAGTCCGCAGATTGATCCCTCTGGTTGTAGTTACCATCCTTACGGAGTGTTAAGGTTGATCCCTTACACCGCAGACCGAGAGTGATTGGGTGCTGATTCGCCTGTCACTTTAGGTCATTCTTCTACTAATCTTCCTACATCCATATTCCGTCATCTTACCCTCTATAATGAACACGCACTGTCGAGGCCTTCTTGTAAATGAGTACTCTCTGCATATGCACAGATATTGATATTTTTTATTTCATCATTAATTTGAAAAAAAATAATGGAGAAACCACCTACAGGAACCATGTTTTAACATTCTTATGGTAATGGTAGAATTTTTTAGCTGCCTTATCTTAGTTATATTCTCTTGAGAGGAAACTTCTAGTTTATTTTCATCCAACATTAATAATTCAACTTTGTTTCATCGTGTTCACTGGTTAGAAGCAGAAAAAATAACAACAGTTTTCAAAACATAACAACTAATTATGTTAAATGGTAAACACAAGTCATAATACTCACAAAACAGTTGTAAACCTTTAGTAGAGATAGGTTAAAACTTCTCCAGTGATGCCATGCCTGCATGTAGAGGCTAGCCACTGTATAAATGGTTACATACAATACAGGAAACAAACACAAATATACTTACATCTGATTTGCATCCTATGATGGCTTGAAATGGTTCAGATGGTATAATAGGACATTTCAGGTCAAGTTTTGTATTGAGAAGATAGGACACAATTTTATTTACAATGCCCCTACGATATTCGACAGTGGACTCTGCATCGCCCCAGACAACTGACTCACATACTGTACCATCCTTGAACCTCCTCAGATCACATTTATCTCCCCAGAACTCTCGGAAATCTTCAGCCTGAAATAAATGACAATTTACCAAAACAAAATTAAAATTAATTAAAAATAAAACTAGGATCTAGTGCTGCCTATTGGCTAGGGCATAGATAATATAGGCAATATATGTATAGATAATTTCAAATCCTAATCCAATACCACCGTTTTCAGTTAAATCAAAGAACTCCATCAGAGATTTAAAATAAAATCCCTCTCCTCCTAATTGATGGGGGAACAAAACTATTTAAACATATACCTAAAATATAAGCCTATCACACCAAAAGTACGTTAACTTAAAAAAATATGAATAAAGTTGAAAGAAAGAAAACTTCTATAAAAATTAAAATTATTGTAATAGAAATCTTTATATTGTTTTTCATAACCATATTTTTAAAGTATGAATGAATAAGTAAAATGTGATTGATTACATTAAAAGTAACAATAAACATGTGGGAATTACAAAAGCAAATGTTTAAGATGTAAAATGAGGCATAAGATAATGGTAGGGGTTTTGAAGTGCCTGACAGGAGAGAACAGTTTTACTCGACAATACTTTTGAGTTTCAGGTCTCCATTTTTCTGATTTTATAATATAAATTAGAAAGAATCTAATTAATTATAGAGTAGATGACCAGTGGAATCATGATTTTTTTTATTGTTTTTTTTTTTATAATAATACCCAATATTCTTAAGTTCCAAAAACTGACATCTTCATTTGATATAAACTAATTAAAAACCAAAAAAAGGTTTAGTTATAATAGATTTGAATTGATTTTTTGAGGTCTTTACTGCCTGGAAACGCAATAATGTCAATCAATACTTGATAAAAAATTAATTTGTCAATTTATAGTGCAAAGCCCGAGTCCAACAGTTTATAATTAGATGATAGCAAAAGAATAAAAAAAAAAAAAAAAAAAAATCAAACCGAATCTTCTGTTAAATATAAAATTATAGATAAATTTATACTTACCCCAGCTTCATTTGACTGAGGACCTTTGTCAATTAAAGAAAGAGCTGTTTCATGGTTATGCATCAAACCAATTAAAATAGGTACAAATGGTGAGGGCTCTGAATTCAACTCCCAGTTATTATCAGGTGATGTCTGGAATCCAATGGATGATATTCTATGACCCATACCTCTTTCAAGCACATCAGTAACTAATCGAATGAACTCAGGTACTGGATTTCCGCAAGAGTCCATTATTCTAATGGGATCTCCTTTTTGTTTCACCACATTCTGTATTGCTGCAATATCTTTCAAACTACGGATAAAAAAATTAAAATCATATAATTTATTTTTAAAAATAAAGATTGAAATAACCTTCTATATATATATCACCCTTTTCCGGCTTAAAGTAGTGATGGATTTTGACAAAAAACATTTGTTACAAGAAAGGAAATTCATTGGAGAAGTGATGAATCCAAAATTCAATTGTTTAATTCACATTGAAACTCTATTATAAGTCATAAATAAAAAAAAAATTATTTGTCTAAAACATGATAATGCTAAATCAACTGACTGAGGTAGGACAATTTGTTTTACAGATTTCGACAGGACATGAAGTTCCAGCAAAGATCCTTTAGAATACACAGAGTTCTCACACAGACATACTAGTATTATTTTAAAAATAAGAAGAACATGTAATTATCGAAATTGTATATAACTAGTACAATCCTTAAGATCTTTCACATTAGATAGGTATCCTTTTCCCGAATGAATTTGACGTATAGTAAGTGACATCAGCAGAACATTGTTGTTCACATATTACTAAGATAACATAATATTACCAAGATAGTTTATTCAATATTCAAAATTGCTGAAGCTTCATACTTTACCACTACAGTTAAAGTAACTATTTACTTAATAACTGATTAGCTTATTCCATTAGAAAATATCTCTCCAGTTTAATTGTTATGCAATAAGATACAGCTAAATACCGCTGAACTAATATTATTCCATTATTGTACTTGCTCAAGACCTATTTGTTTGGTACAGAAGGCTTTGTTTGCAGTTCTCTCACATACTAAGAGTAAGCCATACCTGTATATTTTTTTAATTTATTGAAACAATCAAAATGTTTCTTTCTATATTATCTATGGCCCCCAAGGGATTATAGAGCTATTCTCCTATCTATATTAAGATAGATTTTTAGTTCATCAAAAACTATCATAGAAATATTTTAATTTTTAAAACCTAAACATCTTGTATCACATAGCAACCATATCACCAAAGAGGCTTTCAGCAAGAATGATGGAATATCAAAAAACGTTACATTTTAGGGCTTTAAAATATTATAAGAATACAGAGCCTACTTCAAAATTCAGTCTAACAAAATTGATCTCATCTTGATTTATCTACTATTGAAATCATCTGAGCTGTAAAATCTTCCAATTATTTCAAAGACAAGTTATAGGAATTTAAGTATCTAAATTGGGATTCATCACTCCTCCATGAAATTACCTTTCATTTGATACCTAACTCATCAAAACCCAGAGAGCTGGAAAAGAGGTCTATACTATCAAAAATATACTGTAGATTTGTTAACGATAATATTTCCAACACCAAACTTTAAACTACCATAAGTTTTTTAATCAAATTAAAAAATAAAAGGGATGAATTCTTCATTTTTAGGGATCAGTTGACATCATAAATAGAAAGATTAACCAAATATTAATAAAATTTAACACTAAATTATTCCGTAAATACATGACAGATCAAACAAACCAAACTGAAATAGATTAAAAAAAAATGTTTTTATCTTATAAAATATTTCATTTATAAAATCTATATTTTATCTTATAAAATATAGGCAAACATTAAATTTTGATTGTACCTTAATGCATTTTTTTTCCTAACCATAATTATGAAGTCTTAAATATTTCTAATTATATTTGAAGGGGAAAAAAAATATAGTAATACATAAAAATTACCAAATGACAGTATCATATTGTTGTAGAAAAGGCATTTTAGTCATAAACAAAACTTTAAAGTTGTTTATCTCATAATTATCAAGGTGTTTCATAGCTGCTGCAGCCTCTTCTTTCACCTGCAACATCGTCCCCATAAATATTGAAATTAATTATTAAAAAATGAATTAAGTAAATAATCAATCAATAAATAGTTACATACGAGCTTGAGAAAACATATTCCATTAAAGTGCATTATGATACTGGAAGACGATCACAGTATTCAAAATTTAATGGATAAAACTTATGCAAAAAAAAAACTCCAAATTTTACCTTCAGGTAGAGATATTTGTTAAGCCTTGAGGCTATATTGAAAAATCCGCTAGTGTCAATAAAAACGACATCATAATGTAAATGAAAAATATCTTTAGTTGGCATATCATTATCTTCGATAGAACAAAGGGTTGGGCCATCTGAAGTCCAATCTGTATCCGCTACAAAGAATATTTTGGTTAAATTTTTTTATTTAACTCTAAAATTAATAGAAAAAAAAAATGTGACTTAAAAATTCAAATTTAAGTTAAAACTACCTAGATACATCCAAATATGCCTTATAATTTGGTAACAATTCATATGTTTGTTAATTTTTCCAATTTTCATTAAATAAACCAACACCATTGCTGTAATATGTGAATTAAAAGATCCTAAGCCCTGAAAAAAAAAGTGTTTGTTTTAAAACCAAAATAATTTAAATAGAATTATGAGAACAACAATATATAATATAATATATATTCATAAAGATTTTTTAAATTTTATTCTATTTGCAATAAACAGTAACATTTGAAGAACCATTTATGAATGTTATATTTAACACTGATGAAACACAAAACACCAATTTTTAAATAAGATGGGTCAAATAAATTATTTTAGGGGACTGGAAAAGTAATGTCATTTTCTTACATTGAATTCAAACACATAAATTTCACACGAGTTTTATTTTTAATCATTGATGGAATAACCCTCATTATCAACAACCTTTTGCCATCTAGTGTGCAAATTTTCAATGCAGGATCAATAAAAATCAATTTGTTTTTGAGAAAAATATATAGAATTGGCATTTTGTACATCATTCAAATTTGCAAATCTTTTGCCACTCAGAAAGTGCTGAAACAATCTGAAAAAATGGAAATCTGATGATGGAACATCGGGGGAGTGAGGAGGTGGATGAGGTAGTACCTCCCACCCCAATCTATTAAATTTTTTAAAGGTTCATCTTATGCAATGCGATCTTGCATTATGGTGTTGTAGAATAATGCCTATCCTGTTGACAATAGCTGACCACTTTTCAAATAAAGATTGATTTACACGATCCAGTTGTCCACAATAAAGGTCTGCGTTCACAGTTTGTCCAGATTTCAGCACTTCAAAGTGAGCAACAGCGGGAATATGCCACCAAATACAGAAAAGGGCCTTTATTGGATGCAAACCAGGCTTAGCAGTACTTCACGGCAATTCTTTTGTTGAGAGCCACTTCCTTTTGCATTTTTGGTTATCATACAGGACTCATTTTTCATCTTTGGTGATCAGTGATCAAAAAATACTTCTATTTTTGTTTAAGCAATAAGTTGTGTATGGTGGTTTCGCCATCTGCTGTAAATGTTCCTGGATGGTCAGCCAAGATTTTTTAAGACTGTTTGACAATTTCTCGATTGTCTGACACAGATTTGCTTCAACTTCCATCCTTATAACACTTCATTATCTAATGTTGTTGATCTTCCTGCAGAAAATATATTCTCATGGGCCCTGATTTTTTTGAGTGTGCTTAGTTTGCCTAGCTTATTAAATATTGATGATAAGCCATTAAAGTCATTTCATCACACAGATAACTGGCAAAATAGTAAACTCCTAATAAAGCAGGAAGAAGCTCTATCATAAATTAGTAGGCTAAAAAAAAATTCATTCTGAAGAAAGACAGTGAAGAAGTTTTTATACTGAGTACTGATTTTATATATCCAAGCTATTTGGAAAACAAAGTAGATATGCACCAAGATGTTCATAAGAAAACTACAGATTATTATTTTAAGTAATTTTAAATTTAATTTTTTTTTTATTTATATACAAGTTTACATTTTATAAGTGCACTTTTATCATAAAAAATAATTTAAATTGTAAATTGAAAAACAATTATGTATATTAAATGAACAAACAGTTTAATTTATAGAAGAGAATCTTAATTTCATAATGTTCATTTTTTTATTATGTTTTAATTCTAGTTTCCCTAAAATGGAAATCTTTTTAATTTTTTTTTTTGGTGCTACAGACTAAGAAGATCTTTGACCACAAGATATGGTCTCCTTCCAGAAATATATTGCTTGCGGGAGCACAGATAGCCTGGAGGGAGTCGACCAGCCTCAGGTTGCTATGAACAAATGTTTCCATTGTGCAGCGGCAGGCCACCTGTAGCTCCAAAGCCAATCCCTGTGGGACTAATCTGGCAGTGTTCTTCCCAACGACTTAGTAGGGTTCAAGTACAGTGACAAATTGGTCCTATACTGTAGGCGCACGAGGACCTATATTTCTTTCTCTGTAATAGACCATCCATGGACCAAACCTCTGAGGGTCTACAGCCATCCTAGGAGATCACATCCCGCTTCCGGTTGAAGTACACAAGACAAGATCATCAGTCCTATTATGTTATCCAATGCCCCATCGGTATGAGATGCTTCCAATAGGCTGATGGACTCACATAACAGGGGAGGGAGGGAGGAATCTGGGGTAGCATAGCCTTCCCTGGCAGACGGTTTAATGAATTGCTTGTTTCTCAATTGGTGGATGTAAGGATTGATTGTATATAATCAAGAACTTTACACATTTTAATAAATAAACAAATAACTAAGTAAACCACTGTAAAAGGTGAGGAAAGTATTGTCATTGGATCTGGTTTTTGATGTGAGGTTTTCAAAAGGTCTTCAATGTTTCAGACCTCCCTAAGATCAAAAAAGCAGTTTTAGCCATTGGTTAGTTTATCTATGCCAAGATTATCTCTGGCCATTGGCACGACCTCTACCCCCAACATGGCAAAAATAATGAAGTTATACATTAAGGCTAAACAGCCGATTATTTTTGGGGACCAACTTTTTCTTGATTTTGTAATCAAATTATTTCACAATTCAAATGGAAAGCAAATTTGTGTTCATGAGTTTTTAGTACTTCATTAAATTAACATGTTAGCTGATCTACAGATTGAAAACCTCCTATGTCTGAGGATTTTCAAAGATAAAAAAAAGTAGTAGGTTACGATAAAATAAAGTGGCCACTCATGAAGTTTTAGAAGAGTGTTAATAATTTGATAAAAAGGAGTTTGTGCCACAGACTGATTTTGTTTATTTTTTTGCTTTGTAAGGTTTCAGCCACCAATGCCTCTGAATAAATTAACTGATTCGATGGATATCTATTGATAAATAATAATTAAAAAGGTTTGGGTGAGAAGACACAAAGATGTAACCACTCTTGAATTAAGGTAAATACACCAGTAATAGACACTTTTGAATTAATAAACAATTTACATTATTTAGAGACTTAGTGCAACTAGGTTTTTAGCTGGCACATTCAGAAATGTAATATTTGGACTACAGCTGAAAAATGAGCCACTTAGCATGACTTAAACCCCAAAAATGTCAAAATAACGAGATTATAGGTCTCGTTTTTCTCAATTTTGTGATCAAATTATACAACGATCTAAGTGGAAAGCAAATGAGTATTTATGAGTTTTTAGTACTTAATTAAATAGACAAAGTTTGCTGACCTCCAGATTAAAAATGCCTCAATTCCATGAGTCTTTGTAAATAAAATAAGAGGAGTTGATCGGGGAGTGCCTCCCGCAGTGCTACATCCTACGCTCTAATGAAGACCTGCAAAGTGGGTCGAAACGTCGGCAAAAACATTTATATAATACTATTTATATTAACTTAGTATTTATTTGACTGCACCCCCTGATCAACTCCTTCTCATATTATATCATGGCCAACCATCTCTACATCATTGTAAATAAAATAATTTTAAGTTACGATGAGATGAAGTTATTCATGAAGTTTCAGGTGGATGTTAATAATTTGATAAAAAGGGGTCTGTATCATGGACTATAAGAGTTCACAGTAGAACAAACAACCTGGTTCAAGTACATTTGTGCCAGAAAATATTTTCTATTGGATTCAAGAAACTTGCTACACAATCAGTAACTCTAAAATGGGTACATTTAAAGATTTCCTAATAGAAAAATTTCTAAAAAAAAAACACTATAAATCATATAACTTACTTGACTTAGTTCCCGCTGCTTTAACCAAACCCTCATTAGTATAAAAGCTTCCCTCAAGTGCTGATTTTTTTCAAAAAAACTCTTTTTGAAATTGTGATTTTCTGTTAAAACAAGATCTTCTAATATACTAGCATTGTAGTACTGTGTTGCTTGTAATCCTTCTAATAAATAAATGATAATAGTATTACATACAATACAAAAAGTTTAAGGCGATTTGCACTAGATGGTGAATTTGTAAATGGTTCTTAATCCTTACCAATTTCTGCTCCCCACCATTCTGCCCTTACATTATTTTTTAATGGAATGAATCGCTTAAAGATGAAACTATGCATTTCAGGGACTGGAAAAAGTTTTATTTCGATAAAAGTTGATAACTTTCCAGATGGACGAAATGTTAACAAAGGTTTGGTAATATCTCCAGACATGGAGGAGAAACTAAATTTCACCTCAGAAGAAATTAAATCATTGTCCTGCAATTTGGAGGCAATATAACAAAGATACAACACTCTTTTAAGATGATACCGTTGGTTCAGATTATCTATTTTCTGCAAAAATTTCTGAAAAGACATAATATTATTTATTATAATTACAAAAAAAAAAAAAAAAATGAAAATAACTAATCATATATATTGAACTAACCTTTGGCATGACAACAGCAATATCTAAAGAAAACATGGGTCCTAATGGGCACAATAAGTCATAAGAACCAATAGTGCAAACATCCACAGGTTTCATGAATTTAAATGTGCCCTTTTCAACTTCTTTCTTTCTCTTGAATGGTAAAGTTATATTCAAATCTTCCACCCATTTAGTATCATCCAACTTCATAAGAAAAAAAATATAATTATGATGAGTGTACATTAAGAAAAAAATCAATTAAAAAGATTTACAAAAAAGGGAAGACTAAGTGTGAATAATCAAAGCAAGGCTACTAAGACATGCATTTTATTAGTCCTGAATATATATTTCATTCAAAACAAAATTGAAAAATAACATTTAGAATGGATGGTATTATATTTGATATTTACCGATTAATTGGTAAATATTAAATAAATAAGTAAATAATTAATAAGATAACAATAATGAGGGCCTTATGGAAAGTGAAAAACATCTAGCTCATAATGATAGGCCAGGCCTCAGTCCTTCCAGGTTGGGTTTTTCCTTCTGGACAAATTTTTTTTTTTAGCATGAGAAAGTTTTGGCTTCCTTCTTATCCTTTTCTTAAAAACTAGAATAATGTTTACGCTGCACTCAAAAAAGATTAATTTGAAAATCTACCCAGAGTTTCGTTCCATTAATTTGATTGTCGAATGGGTAATGGATTAAAGAAACAAAAAGGCATTCCCATAGCCAAGAATCCATTACTGGGTCACCACAATCCTGTGTGCCAGTGTTTGTACTGAGGTATTCATAAAATAAACCTGAACTTTAATAGACCAAAATCAGATTTAAACTTTATCAATTTATGATGCTCTTACGCTTCTGTTCATATTATCTGAGAAATTTCAATGAAAAAAGAAATTTAATAATTACATTGGTCAAAACATTGTACAAAATGATATTGGTAATCCCTTTTTAAAACACATTCATTGTTATTTAAACCTTTTTATTTAATTTTTTTTTTTTTTTGAACGATGTGATTTGGATATCAATCTGGCTGTAGCTTTATTAGTGATCTCTAGTGCTATTCATACTATGTGCTCTCTTTCACATTAGGTTATATCCCTTGTCCTGCATTCATTGGCAAACTGTGTTTCATAACTTTCCGTGATGCTTCTTATTTTAATATCAACGATTTTCATTATGCACCAATGTGAATGTTTTAATGAACAGTTTAATTTAATATTCATCCCTCTTAGGAACTTAGCAGCACGTCTTATTTTATTTTTAATCAGTCATACATTAGTAACCAATAATAATCATATAAGTAACAAATTCTATATCCCTACTTTCCATGAGAATGTTTCTACATTCATATCATTTTCATTGAAACCATGTATGTCGACACTTTGTAATTTATTTGTGAATGGTGACCATTTCAAACAAATAGTTTTCGATTTTTTTTTTTCTATTAAATATCTATATGTGATTAATATTGATTAACTTGAATCTGGCCTACTAAGAGTGTAAATAATTTAAGTATTATTAAATATACCAAATAAAGCAATAAAAAGATGTGAATATACCTTAGTCAAATTTTCATCATTTATTCTCATCTTATCCTACACCTATCAGTTTGGTTATAATAACAGAAAGTTAGAATTAAACAATTAGAGTTGAAGTTGTCGGATTCAGGAAGAAAAATACATAACTGACATACTTAATTTAAAAGTAAATAAACAAAAATATAATAAAAAATACATTAAAATAACACTTTTCAGATTAGTTCCTGGCAACAATGAATAAGGAAAGGTATACTACGATATTTAATATTTTTAGTAGAAGTTGTCTGAGGTTTGAAGTCAATAAAATACATAAACCATTGTTTATTTTCTTAGTATCGAAGTTTCAGCCACCATCAGAGCTAAGTAAAGACAAGATAAGAACAATATGATAGTAAGAAAGATAGAGTAAACTTATCAGCAAGAAAATAAAACAATACAAATGGTATGGAAATTAATGCATTATCTACTATTAAATAGATACAAAGAAGAGGATAAAAATTGTTTAATTTATATTCTCAAAGAATTAAAATGTTATAATAATTAATAAGTTTTGTAATTTTTATTCACTTTTTCATGTTTATTTATTAGTAGATAACATATAAATCTTCATGCCATTTGTATCTTTTCATTTTCTTACTGATAAGTTTACTTTCTCTTTCTTATTGTCATAGTGTTCTTATCTTGTCTTCGCTTAGCTCTGAAAAAGGCCTACAACTTAGGCCAAAATGTTGGCACAAAAAAAATATCAATTTTTTGTGTATTTCACTGACTGCAACCAAATTCTCCAACAAAAATTATTTACACTCAACTATCTCTTCACTATTAAAACATTTTATGTATTTTCCAGTTCTTTTTAAAATAATATTTAAAAAATCTATTGCTACAGTTTAATTTTCAATAATACTGAGTATTTTAAATATCAAATATCTCATTAATAAAATAATAATTGTATTATATTTTCAATTTTTCCTTGCTTACTGATATAGCTTCTTCTTGATCTGGTAGGTTCATGAGAGTTTTTTTAAAATTTTCCAGCCAGGAAGGAATATATCGCTTCACCGACTTCTTAGGTTTTAACTCTGACAACATTTCATCAACTTGTAATTTGAAAAGACGGGACTGAAATAAAATGTCGGCTTCTTTTAAGGAAACAATTTCTTCTGCAGTAGGTGGTTTCACCACTTTGCCTTTGTTTTTAATCTTTTTAGAGACAGTAGATACTCCATCCTAGTGAACAGAAAATTTATTTTAAATTGTAAATGATAGAATAAAAATATAATATCTTAAATTGAATGAACATAATTTTTTACTAAAAAATAAGCCTAATATCTTTTTCATAAGACTAAAAAAATAAATAAATAATTAAAATAAAAGATATTTTATTAAATTAGAAGGATAAATTGTCAGTTTATGGAAAAGTCATCAATTAATATTTCATAAAATTAAATTACTAATTACTGTGATGAACGTTTTCTCAGTGAAATCAAAACATTAGCCACTTAAGTATTACTATACTTGATATATAAAAGAGTCATTTTGATGAACTTATTGCGTTTTTCTATTGATTAATAAGGTCGATCAACAAAATGCACTTAAAAGTTTAGGCCCATCAAAAATGTACTTAGTGACTATTTGCAATAAACCGACAACATATATTTAATTATAAGAATTAACTTATTTAATATTTGAAATAAGTTTATCCGATTAATAAACTATAGTAAATAAAATAAAAATGATAAATTGTCATCCTCTTATCATTATTATTTTTTTTAATAGCTCCCATAAAAGTAGTCAGCAGGATGCCACAAACGTTCAACAAATATTAAAACAGTTGTCACCAGAATCTATAATGATGTCCCAAAAATAGATTCAGAATGATCAAATAAAGAAATACCAACAAGATTTTCTAAATCTACTATAGCTAGCTATTTAAGTAGTTCAATATTCAACACAATTAATAGATTTATTTAAAAACATATTATTTTCAAATAAAAATATTTTCAAACAGAAGTGTTAACCTCCAATTTTCTTTTTTTTCCATTTTTCTTTTCTTCCAATTCTTCCACAGTGAATGTAGAACCCTGAAAGTAAAAAAAGAAACAATAATGTATTATGCATTAATATGATAAAATACATTGTTTTAGACATTTTCATCTTCTTCAGATATTGCTAATATTTTTCTGTGATTAGCTAGTTTAATTTGAAAAGATCAGTATTATTTTAGAAAAAATAAAAGATTACAAAAACTATGTTGTAAACAAATACTTTTTAAATGCTTTACTTCTAATTCAAGAACTTGAGTACAATAATTGAAAAATATACATAAAAGAACAAAACATTATTTATAAACATTTCTAAAATTTTTTAATTTTATAATAAGTCAAAATATAATTGAATATTGGAAAATGCATATGCAGCAATTTTTAAGACATATCACAGAAAAACGTTATTAAAAATATATAGATGACAAAAGAATACTCAAAACTTTGAAAAAGCTATGCATATAATTGATTAAACTAATCAAGGAAGAAAATTTGCGCAGAATATCATATATAACAAAACACATATTTTCCATTAATAGAAGTAATGATTATTTATTAAAAATTTATTTGTTAGTATTTAATTTTATATTTTGAATTATAGGCTGAAGTGAATATTAAATTAAATACTTGAATAGTATCAAGACAATAAATTCACTTACATCTTAAGTTAAAATGGTTAAGTAATGGAAAAGAAACATACAGGATGTTTCAGGGTTAAGGCAGTGGCCAAACTGCAAAAATGAATGAATGACAAAACAAGAAAAAAATCCTCTGAAGATATGTCCGCAAACGCTTTATTTAGGAGATACTACACCTAAAGATTTTCATTGTTATGAATTATTTATGTTACATGAAATAAATAAAACTGAATAATCTGTTCTAACTACTTTATTAATTAAATGTAAACATTAGCATTCATATTAAATGTTGTTCAAAGTAAATGTAATGCAAGTTAAATGTATGTCCAAAAATGATTTGTTTAGGATATGGATTAGATAGAATACTAATATGCCCATTTATCCCTAACTATCTAAAAACTATTGGCAACGTAAGGATTAATACCATTTGGAATTATCATTGGGAATTCTCAATAACACTTATCAGTCTGTAAGAGGCTTTCGCAGAGTAGTTATCATTATCCTTTCCATTTATACTAATGGTGAATATGATGATATGGTTTTTGCAAGTGCAATGCTAATGCTCTCTGTCGTTAATATGCCAGGCTATTTCCGAATAGAAGATTACCATACATGTCTATCTTTAGCTCCACGTTTCAACGTTTTAGAGAAACTGGTACATTTGCTATAATATCACATGCTTTTTTTGTTGGTATTTTTGCCCCTTTACGAAATAAAGAAAGGAGTGCGACCATACTACAATATTTGGATGTTAATCAATCTGGCAGTGCACGAAGAGATTATATATGTAACAAATAATAAATATGAAAAACTAAAAAAATTAAAATTTTTGTAGCTAATAAATTCAATTTCTATATTGCTGAATATAAAATAAATGTCCTTATGGAACTTAAATGTAATTTCCAATAATAATTAAATTAAATCTATTATAAAATTTATTTACAGAATGACACAATAAAAATAAATATAGCACAATAATAGTTGTATTTTAAAATAATCAACGTTAGTTTATAAAGTTCAAGTAGTATTCTTAAAGTTTATTAATTTATTTAAAATTAATTTCAACAGAAAGTAGTGTGCTAAGTGAAAACTGTGTGATGTTCCCACTACAGGATATTTCTAATTTGACAATTATTCTAAAAAAGAAAATGCCATTACAATAATTGTCAATCATTCAGTTTTATAATACACAATTAAGCAAGTTAAATATATCGAATATTAATATAAAACAATAATATCTATTCACTAACTTTTAACTTAAAATTGTTAAATATTGTCATAAAAACAGAGTAAAGGCTCCTGCACACAGTATGCAGTATGTTCTGGCGATAGGATATTCCTTTGTCTATATTATTGTGAATTATCACTCTAGATGACTGCTATAATGCAATAAAAATTAATACAACTTCATCATCACATCACTGCTGACAGGAATATCATATCGCCAAGACATACCACATACTGTGTGTAGAAGTCTTCAATGAACATAATTCAATATTGATTTTATTGATAATTACTATAAAGTCATAAAGGGGAGAGGGGTAGTTTAGTGGATGAACACTGATTTCCAGAGCTCAAGGTCCCCAGGATTGAGTCTGGCTGATTACTAGTCATTTTTCTTCAGCTGTTGGTTGATCCTGAGAAAAACCCAGTCGCTATAAAATGGGCAATCTTAATTAAATAATTAATTAAGAGGGAAAACGTGGCGATTGACCTTGTAACGGTACTTCCTCACCTTGTACTGAACCTAAGAACCTTCATGGGTTGTGGTGGTACAGGTTTTATAGAGCTATAAATAAGGAATGTTTGGTCAGAAAGTATAAAATAATTTTAAAAAGTATAAGATAGTGTAAAACAGAAATTTGTTAAAACAAGACAAAATGAATCAATATAAAGCTATCATAGATTACAGCGCACAAATGTAGTGTTTAGCTGTAGTTCTTGACACAATTCCAAACTTCTTATTTTAAGACTGATAAATCATTAATTTAAAAGCCTCATCTTCTTAGAAACACTTATGAATGGTCAATAATTTGTATTAAAAGTGATTTTTTTAAATTTTTGAGAAAAATTGTGGCCATAAATAAACTTGTTTCATTTTATAAATTTAATTGTGATTCTGGCAACAAATACATATATATGAATATGTTAATAACAAGAAAATTAACATCAAATTTAAAAAAACAAAAATGAAAACAAGTGCAGTGGACATGCAAATGGGTACAAATATTTCTCAACAGTCAACGAAAAGCATTTCGAGAGTTTATCAGCCTCCAAATACTTCTCATAATAGTATAGAGTGAGGAATTCAACAAAACATCATAATGCCTAAGCTAATTAACTATGTTTAAATGTTTCCAAGAATACTAATGGTTCCTAAGAAGTAAACCAGCTTTCCTCCAAAATGGGGGATTCATTAGAAGGAATCTCATGATCAAACTGTTCATTAGTAGTAAATGAGCTATACTCCAAGAGAGGTATTATTATTATTTTAAAATAATTTAACGAACTTTGATGAAAATCAATACTTATGTTTCATTTGGCCTTAATAATAATTGAGCATTTAATCTGGGGTCATCCTCAAAAAATCATCAACACTAAATAAAATTGAAGGCTTCATTTACAAGCATTCAACACATAGTTAAAATATCACTGAATATTTAAATTTGGACTATTTGACTAAGATTTGATAATAAACTGGCTTTATATTGTTAAAAACATACTTCACTTTGTGAACTCTAAAAAAATTGACAAAACATTTAAAATATGAAATTACTTACTCATTACATTATTATTTTTAATTAATAGGGCATACAGTTGTATTGTTTAAAAAAATAAAATGTTACTATAAATAAAAAATTAAATGGGCTTACCTTTGATTCAAGCATATTCTTCATTTTTAAGAAGAAGAAAAACACGCCGGGAAACACACAGCCAAAACAATAACCTCCGCTGTCAGGTTAGTTTGCTCACCCACGTGGTGTCAAGAAGCCGCTGTTCGTCAAGGACACTCCCTCCTCACTCACACACTAACACACCTACTGTAAACATACTACCACTCATCAATGTACCGTTTTCTCGAGGTGAATAACCCATAGAGGAATTTCGTCAAGTTTTAAGAAGTTGATGACCTACTGAAAATTATTCTCCCTATAGAAAATCTATTTAAGAATTATCAATTTTTTATTATCTCACTCTTTAATGTATTTTTCATTGGGAAGGTCCTTTAAAGTTCTTCTTGACAGGTTTTATAAAATGAGTTCGGTTAATGAGTCTTATACTCGCAGCTTAATCAATTCAAGCTCTCATGATATAATTTTAATTTCTTTTTCTATTTTTTTACGAACAGATTGGAAATTAAATACGTTATTACTTGAATTACCTATGTTTCAAAATATTCTTAACTGAAATTTCTGAACAAACTGGACATGAAAATATTTTTATTATTTTTTAAAACTAACATAATTAGCTGATAAGACACGCATGCTGTTGAAGCACATAATAGCAATTTTAGACAAACATAGTAGTTGAAAATTGCTTTTAAATAACTCGTATAATAGCAGTTCATTTAGATGTAAAATCAACTATAACTGCTAAAAATTATATTATGATCGTAAATCTTCCATATGGAACTTAAAACCACGTGCTTAAAAAACAGTAGCTACGGTGCACAAATGTAATGTACAACAGGAAAAGTAGTGATCAAATAATATCGTCAACAAAAAAAAAAACAAAACAAGAATATAGGAATTTGTATACGGAGTATAAATATTATATAATATAATATATAATTATATTAAGTATTACGTTTCATCTTAGTTGCAATAAAGGATTCACTTACATTACTTTCACTCTATGATTTATTAAGTACATTAAAAATATTTTTTTAACAATTTTTAAAATATTAAGAATGTATAAGATAAATAAATGAGTAATCCTTTATTTGTAAATACATTATAGAAAAATAATTTAATTGAAAAGAGGGATGTTTGGGGTGATCAGTCAAAATAAAAAATAGCAAAATTAAATAATAATATTTAAACGCATCTCTCCAAGCCTTTGGTTTGATCAGCCCTGATGGAAGGTCTGAACTAAGGGCCGAAACGTCGGCCTTAAATAAGTAAAGAAAATATATATTATTTTTTATTTTTGCTATTTTCTAAATATTTTGACTGATCACCCCAACCATCTTTCTCTTCAATTCACAAACAACATTAACTATAGTCAACCAGCAACCCACAAAAATAATTTAAACATTAAAATATGAGAACAATTTCTTTAACATTTTCAAACAAAAGTGTTTTTATATAGTTATAACATAGTTATAACTATTTACTAATTATAACTATAGTTATAACTTTATTATTTGAAATAAACTAAACTAATGGTGTTCCGGGCTTTCCAATGAGCCAAGTTAGTTCAAAAGATTGACCTTTCAAGTGGGTGGGTCTCGGGGAGAAAACCGTCCAATAGGAGACTGGCAAGTGGTAGTTTGAAAGGAGCCAGTTGTACCCGCGACGCCATTCTGCTTCCACGTTGGAAGTAGTCGGCAACCAGCCTCTTAGTTTTTATAGTTTTTCTTTAAGTTTAATTATTTTCTCGCTTTTTACCAGTTTTATTTCATTAAAAAATATATATTTGTTATTTAAAGTAAAGTTTATTTATTTCTATTAATAGGAAGGGGTGCCCATCTCGTTAGGTGACCGTCAGTCGGTGATCGGTGCGTGTGGTGTGTGTTTGGGTCGCCGATTATAGCGATCGGCTGACCGTAGGATTCCCGGAAATTACAATCGGTGGTGTGGGGTGTTTGTTTTGGTTCATCTAAGTGAATTCGGAATCAATTGAAACCAACATATTCAGGATTGTCATCAGGCATATGGAAACATGTCTGTGCTTTCAGATTTTAGTTTCCTTGATGTCATATTTGACAAAGATGAAAACATTAAATTAGAAGAAGATATCAAAATAGAATCCGATCCTAAGGATGATGAGAATGTTGTAAGTTTAATTACTTTGATAAATAACAAACGCCTCCATGTCCTGAACCTGCTTTTATTGTTGTCAGTCATTAACGAGGATTTCTCAAAAAGAATCTATTAAACTTTATTTCACCAAAATTATATATACAACAATATTAAACAATTCAACCACGTGGTTACCTTTCACTTCTTATTAATTATTATGTTTTGATATAAATTTCTGTTTAGTATTACAATATTTTATTTCCAGATAACACATTTCGGTATTTTTTTTTTTTTTTTTTTACTAGTTATCTGGAAACATATGGTAATTGTGCATATTTATTTTGATGTCCCTGTCTCTTAGTGCCATATTTACAACTATTTCTATTTTTGGGTTTGTGATTTTGTTGTTACACATCTTTTAAGTAACATTTACCGATAACAGCAAAGGGAGACAAACTCAATTGTATATAATGGGGCAAATTTAAATAAGAAGTACCTTACATTTATAACTACGATTTACAATCACACATTTTCTGATATGACTGCTTCGTTATTGCCCTGATAATATATTAATTCAACCGATTCAGTCATTTTCAGTAGTATAATGATCTAAATAAATTACCGATTTTTCTTGTAACTTTGTTTACATGTTAAAAATTATCTTCTAGTAAAATGAACAATTACATAATAATGTAGTTATGTTATTTTAATAAATTTGTGAGTTATACAGATTAAAATTTCTAATACTGCATGCAATAGCTTTACCAGTCAAGACATATGTTTTACTTTATTTTGTAAGCAAAATGAATTTAAACATTCCTAAGGGATTATTATTTAAACCTTATAATCTAATGTATTAAATAAATTAAGATTTTATGAGTCCATATCTTTCGTTCTTTTAAATCGTACAAATTTTTCGTGCCCTTCATCGTGTTTAAACAACTGTGGTGTGCAGAAGGATAGAGTTTGTAAATATGACCGAGTTATCTGGATCACATTCATTACCATATGTTTACTTTATTTTAGGAAAACTATTGGGACCATTCGGGTGTTGATCTGTTAGACTCTGTTCTTTTTAATCAGCCACTTGACTTTTTGCCAAATGAAGATTTACTATCACAGCAAACACTTGGAAATGTTTCAGGAAGTTCTGCCTCTGATAGTGGTAAGATTTCTCAGTTGTAACTTCTTTACAATGAATTTTTTATAACATGGGATTTGAAAAAAAAAAATAAAACCTTTCTTTATTAGGGCTTTCAAGTGATCAACAGTTTTCTCCAGTTTCATTTGATGAAATCGAGGAAGATAATGGCGAAATCAAGCCTAATATTACCCTCGACCAATCAATGCTCAATATGCTCTGTGAAGACGATACATCTTCTGATCAAATAACATTACATAAAAGTGATGATGATGATCCAATTGACGGTAAATTCAATATTATACAACTTGAAATGCCATAGTTATATAAAATTCGTTATAGATTCTAATAATTTTTTATTATTTTAAAGTTTGTACTGTAAAAACTTCAAAGCCTGTTGTACGTGTAAAGCCGTCCATCTCAAGAACAAATACTAAAGTTCTTAATATATCAGCTCTTCAAAATAAGCCAAGGTCGATATTAATACCAGTTAAAGGAAAAAATGGTGTGAAAACTATTAAAATTATCAAGCCTTCAGTTCGAATACCAAGAAGAGTTAAAACAGAACTTGTTGAAGAAGTTAAGTCTTCCAGTGAAGAAACTGGTGATGAAGGAGATCAGCAGTCTAAATATCCCAGAGTGCAACTTACAGGTAAAAATATATGTATATATATATTGCATGCCGTAATATTTAGTTAATTAAAGGTTCCTTATTTTTTTTCATTTATGTGTAATACTTATTACATTTTCAATAAGTAAAAGAGATGTATAATTAATCTCGACCTTTTTAAATGCTACTGAAATCAAATTATAATTGTTTATTTATTCAATATTTTACTAACTTCTCTAAGAAAATATTTATATCTAATAATTTTATTTTGTATCATAAATAAGAAATATTAATCTTAATTAAACAAATAAAATATTTCTCCAAAATATATTTTTTTACAATATATTAAAATTTTATACTAAGAAAATAAATAAATGCTATGTAAAAGAAGTAAATATAAATATATATATATATATATATATATATATATATATATATATATATATATATATATATATATATATATATATATATATGTATATATTAAGTATTATAAATTTACTTAATGTTTAGAATATATCAAAATTTAATTCCACTTATATCATAAGAAGCCACATGGCTGCTTCTTTAATTAGGACATAACATTAAGATTTTGTGCGAACTTAGCATTCATTTATAAAGAAGTATAAATGTAAGCATGAAATACAAAGTATGTACACATTAATGGTAACTAAAATTCTTATTTCTTGTTCTTATTCCATTTATATGTGGATTACATTGGTTCTGCTTTTATTACTCATTCAATTATCTAAGTTATTCTAATCTTTGTTCTTCTTTTCTGTTTTTCTTGATTATGTTTTACATATGTTTAAATATTCTTATTCCTTAATATTTCTTCTTCACTTAAAATTTCTTATTTGATTAATTGTGTTTCCTACTGTTATTTTCCTCAAATTAAGAGCTCACTTCTGTTCTCATAGTAATGTTCATTGTTAAATATACAACAATATATATTTATTACGATTAACATAAATTTCTTAAATGCTGTAAATGTAAGGAGCTGCACTTTTACAGAAAATCTCTATTTTCTTTGTAAAAATAAAATGTTTTATTCCTACTGAATGTAGGGCTTTTAAATTCAGAGAGCCATGAAAGGAAGTATTAGTGGAGCTAATTACATGGTCACTGAGTGAATAATTCCTCATACTTTCTTTTAGCAGCTATGGTCCTGCACCCTTAGAGGCTCTCTAAATTTTTGCTCTCACATTCAGGACTCCCTTCACTTCCAGTTTGATCTGCAGATCTACTTTCTCTCCCCCTTGCAACTGAAACTATTTAAGATTGCTTAGTGAAAGTAAGCTAAACTGACACATAAGATTGGTCTTGTTTCCAGTGACCTTTTAAAGTTATGAAGTGCTCAGGAACCTTTTGAAAAAAAAAGATATTTGAAATTATCTACCTTGGATTTTAATATTAATTGGACTATTTCACATTTTTTTACTCTTTTTATTTTTATTTTTTGTACTAGCTGAAAAAAATAAATTAAACAATGATTCTAAACATAAAAGATGTTGACTAGATTCATTTTTTTTTTTTGTTATGCGAGAAATAATGAATTTCTGTTTTATTAGTCTACTAAGTAAAATTTATGAACTGATGAAACATTATCCTTTGCTTATCGATTGATTGCATCGATTAATCTTATGTTTGATAAATTACACCACTATAATCTTTCCAGTTCAAGTAAGATTTTTATAATACTTGGAATTTCCTAAAACATTAATCCTAGATTTAATAATCCTTGGGACCCACATTGATAATAAAAGTTACTGTAGTCTATGTAAGAACTGCATTCTGCACTTCATATTATTATGAATTATTTCGTATTTTGTGTTTAAAGCTGTAGACCAACAGGACGTTGTTATCTTTTATCTTTATAGGCAGTTCAACTTGATGTGCCCATTGCCTCATCTGATAATGCACGTTGCCGCACTAAAGAAAAATGAATTTGATTAGATAATGTACATATTTAATGCATACACAGCAATCTATAAATATACCACATTTTACGCGTGTACGAAGACAATTTTAAAGTTATTGCGCGCCTTTCGTATTACGATAAATCTTTCTTCATTTTCTTTATATTGAGATAAAGATTTTTAAAAGTTTAAATTACTTATGTTTGATTTGTTTGATCGATTCTACTAACTAGATTCTGGTTATGGCCTCCTAAAGGTTAGTTGTTGAAAAAGTGGGCGCGAACGTTGAGAAGATCGAATAAATTTGTAAAGAACCGTTTCACGGAAAGGTTTTTAAATTCTATAAAAGTTTCGTAATTCTTCCTGAACAACTAGTTCGTTACGGATTTTTGAAAGCGACTTTAACCACCAACTCTGATCCCACGTGCTTAGTTTTCCATTAGAAAGCCGTTACGAAATCTCAGTGCATGTCCCTTAAGTTCAGGGCTCGATTTTTAAGTCGGTTAAATACTCACATTTCCATTACTCCCGATTTTGAATTAAGTACGGTTTTTCCTAAGACCTTTTTGTACAATTAAATAATTACGTTTTACGAACTAATTTAAAGCAATTTCATCATTATAATGCCATTGTGAATTATCTATTTTTTTTTTATTTATAATTTTCTGTTAGACATTCCTTTCCATAACTTGAATAATTATGGAACAGTGAACTAAATGGAATTCAACACAATAATAATTTTAAAAAATCTGGTACGCGCATCACACAACTTTCACTTACGGCTCTACTTCGAGGAGCAGTTCTTGTCTGGCAAAATTGGTCCATTACAAGAAGTTTTTGAAGCGCGATCTTTAAGGCAGCTAAACTTAAAACAACATATTCTTGAATTTCAGTCATATTCATCAATAAAAACTCATTAAGACCGTCACAATAACACAAACCATATTTATAATATCTATTGTAGCCTATAAAAACCTCAGATGTAACTACATCAGTCTATTTGTAATCACTTTGTAGTCACTGAGCTCTAGAGACTAAGAGAGATTTGATAATCTCAATCACTTTTTACATGTATTTAAATTCTTATTGTTTATCCTTCGAAAACGTATCAAATACAGTTACATATTTTAAATATAGCTTCGCTAGGTCAAAAGTCGTCTCACTAGTTGTAAGTGTATAATGTTGTGATTTCACAAAGAGATTTTTTTTGAAAATAAATCGACAATATATATCTAATTATTTAAATATAAGATCAGATCTAGAGTTATTATACTACAATAAATGTATTTAAGGTAATAAGCACATGTTTATGCGATTTCATGGATATTTTTTACGATTCGTGTTTAAGGACAAAAAATATGTTTTAAACATCCATGAAATATTTTTATATTTCACTTCTTCATTTACGCAAGTACAATGAAATAGTTTTTTTTTAACAAGGCCATTGCCTTGATTTGGTGGATTTAACTTTTTTTCAAAATAAAAAAATAATTAATTTTACATATAGTAAGTAAATTTCATTTAATTTCCTTGAATGAAAACATGTGATTTCCGTTAAATAATATTAGTTTTCACAAATTATTATTTATAATTTTTTCGTCAAGCTCCATTACCTTCTCTGACTTTCTATATAAGATGTCTGTTATAAAATTCTCCGCTTTCCAACGATATATTATTCATATACCTTCTGACTAATATTTCCATAGATTCATATTTGATCTAAATGAACATTTTCCTTTTTTTCTCCAGTGCCCAATCATCAAATTCTTTCATACTTTATATTTAGCGGTTTTTTATAGTTATTGTCAATAGTTAATTTTTTAAGTGTGAGAGTTAATTTTTTAAATAATCCAAATTATAGGTACTTGAGAGAAAGACGTATATGAACATAAGGCATTTAAGTGCTGTAATGTGACATCGTTGTGAATAAGACCTAGCTGATATTAAAAACAACTTAATAATACACTGATATATCGATTTTAATTAAATTCGTTAGAGCCGTTTTCGAGAAAATCGTAAAAATGTGTTCTATCGATTATATCAAGTGCCACTTCCGGTTTGCCGATTTAGACGAAACAGTTGCTGTAACTTCCAAGGCATATACAAACTTTTTATACGTTATATCAGTTTCTTATGACTTATCATTTATGAGCTACGCTGTTCACACTCACACAGACCATTTTGCGGGACTTGGTTATTTTGACTCAAAGGACCTCAAAACGTCTGTTTCCGTTGCAAACTCAGATTCGAAAATTTTCACGATCGCAATACTTTCCCTTACTATATATTACATATATAGGTAAGTGAAAGTAAACAATTTTTCTACCTTACTGCAGTCACAATATCAATTCCAATTTTCGTAGTTTCGTAGTGAATTTCGAATACACTGCTTGGACATTGCGCCGATAATATATCATCTATTTATTTCAAAAATTCATTAGGTAACATTTCATCAAATTTGATCATTAAGTACTTCGATAAACTTTTCTCTCTGTGATATCAGAACATTGTGTACTTGTTAAATATATTTGATACAGAAAATGGTTTGTGACGGACGTACTTTCTTTCAATGAAGATAATTATTTATTAAATGAGACTGGTAAACTTGGCCTGTTCTAAATAACTATCTTAAGCTTTTCTTTTACATACTCCCTAGTTCCAGTAGAAATTTTATTTTTGCTTCCGTAATATTGGTCTCAATGTGATTCCGTTTAGATATTTTCTAAAAATAATTACCTTTGTGCTTTTCCAACTTGTTCCAGTAGTGGAACAATGCCAGGTTATACAAAGAACTTAAAAAAAATATTTTTATTAGAATATGCACTATAAGAATAGTGTTGTTTTTAATAATACTGATTAAAAATTATTATATTATAGTAAAACATTATAATTGTTTGTAAAATAATAGAAAATGCTTACGTAAAAATACGGAATAAAAAAAAATATTGTTGCTAATATATGATTAACATTCCGTGGTATTTGGAAAAGAAATCAATATGAATGCGTTTCTGACATTCTATGCAATTACATTTTGTGTGCCACAATAGACATCTTCCTTGTGAAGCCGAAATCATCTACCTGCCTTACGCCTGCTAGGAGGGATCGAAGTCTCCGGACCATCTTTCAGCAGTCAAACCCGCATTATCTAATTATTATAAAATGTTAGGAAGAAACGCGATGCAGTCACTACAAGAGCACAGAAAACTAACACCAAAGGATTTTTGGCTTAGTATTTCCAGTAATATGTATTCTAAGAAACTAAAAAAAAATTACGCCGTTTTCTCTATCGTTAAGAGAATTACACAAAAAAATCGAAAGTCTTAAAATAGCCATTTGTAGTTCTATGAATTTCCATGTACAGTTATGTACTAAGAAAATAAGATAGAAAACAATGAATGGAATTAAAACATTAATATTAAAATTAGTAAAACTGATTCTTAGAATTTTTTAATTTACATTTTCTACAATACATTATTTTCTGTAATCTTATCACAATCAATTAAATCAATATTAAAATTACATTTCATTGCTGTAGTATTTAAACCAAAAAAATAAAAAACATCAATTCACATCTGGACACTACAAAATCAGAAACTGTAAATTTTTATTTACGGAACTAAAAGTGATGAAATCCTTATTAAAAAAAATATTTCAACCTTTGTTTTGATATATATTCCACTTCTGGAACAATGGTATGTAAAAGGTTATTAAAATTTCGTTATTTTAAATATTGCTCTTATCAATTGAAATTAGCCCCAATCGAATTGGGTTAGGCAAACTTTTTCAATTTGCTGTAAAATAATCTTCCAAGGGCGTTTTGATTACAAAATCGTTAAATTTTATTTAATTACCTTATCTAATGTTTTAATTTACTCACCTTTTAAAGATTTTTATCCTACTGATTCAATTGCAATCGTCTGATAAGGATAATAGTTTTTGTCCAATTATCTTTTCATTTATTGCTAATATCTTATGAGAAAGATATCTGCAGACTAGATGAGATTATCTTTAGACTGAGATAAGGTGTAGGAATTGGAGATATTTCTTTCTAGAACTTAGAGTTTTTGAATTTATATAATATTAATTTTCTCTGTACATTAATACATGAATTTATTTAAATTTCACTATCATTCAAATGTTTATTTGCCATTAAGTTTGGGCTTGAATATTCTCATGAATTACATTTCTATGGAATGATGTGCTTTCTCTCTTTAAATTTATTCTAATTCATTAAAGTTTACTGACGACTTTACATTACAGCTTAAAGTTAATATAAATTTTTACTTTCACTTACGTATATTTGTAATATATAGTAAGGGTACTTCTTGAAGGGAGTTAGTCGACTGTTCTACATGTCATGGGTGATAAATATTCAGGACGCAGTCTTTTTAAAAAAAAAAATTTATTTGTGCCAACGTTTTAACTATTTACATATTTAATTTTAATATGTGTATTGCAATATTAGTTAGATTCATGTACCATCAATCACTATAGTTTATTATTTATAATTAGCGGTCTTATACTATTATATCTCTGATAGTAATTTAAAAAAACATTTTCAGCCCTGAAGATAACCCACATGTTTGGGTTGAAACTTTGACAAAAATAAAAAAAATTAAAAAAGACTGCGTCCTGAATATTTATCATCCATGATATAGTAAGGGTAAGTATTGTGATCGTGAAAATTTTTGAATCTGAGTTTTCAACGAAAATACACGTTTTGAGATACCCTGAGTCCAAATAGCCAAGTCCCGAAAAAGGTTTGTATGTTAGCAGTATAGCTCAAAAACGAAAAGTCCTACAAAACTGATATTACGTATTTAAGATAGGTATATGCCTTAGATGTGACTGCAACTTTTTTCTTAATAATGGCAAACCGGAAGTGGCACTTCATATAATCGATAGAACACATTTTTACGATTTTCTTGAACACGGCTTTAACGATTTTAATTAAACTCGATATATCAGTGTATTACTAAGATGTCTTTAATATCAGCCTAATAAATGCCTTATGTTCATATCCGTCTTCTTTTAAAGTACCTTTAATATGGTTTATTTTAAAAAGTTAATCATTTCACATTATTCAGAGTTAGGAAAAAAATGCTAAATATAACTTTTGAAAGAATTCGATAGGTTAATAAAGGATAAAAAAATGAAAAACCTGCGTTGTTATAGACTGTGGCACCGATTTCAATGAAAGTTCTCTAAAGTCATTTTCTCGACACCCTTTAAATTTATCTATATAACTTCAACGAAAAGAAGCTGGAAAAAAAGTTCCGAGGGATGGTAACATTAAATTCCGAATAACTCAAAAAGTATACACTTTTTTGTAGATATTGTGATAAGACGTTTCAAATGTATTTAAATTTCATAAAAAAATTAAGTTTCATCGAAAACAAAGCACTATTAGTAGAGATATCGCGATTTTAAAATATTTTTGGTTTATTATTACTTTCAGTTACGTAACGTATATATGTAATATTTTTTTTTTTTTTTAAGTTTACGGAATTATCTCAAAAAAAAAAAATCGTTAAAATCGCACAATTAGGAAAAAAGATATGGTCTTTAGTTTTTTATTATGTTCTGCTGCAAAGGTTATATGCTTTGTTTTGGTTTTTGAATTTTGAATGTGTTACTTAGGTAATGCTATTTTTTTTTAGCATATTACTAATGATTAAAAAAAAAGTTAAGTCCATTAATTGGAATCACCTTTTATTTATTTTTCTTGGTAACTAGAAAGGTAATGTTACTTTAGAGATGTATAATTGTTTGGAAATAATAAACCATTGTGAAATAATTAGCAGCTATGTGAAATATTTAGTGAAAAAATGCTAAACGTAACTTTTGAAAGAATTTGATAATTGAATAAAGGAGAAAAAAATAAAAATGCTTATAATATTTGATAATTGAATAAAGGAGAAAAAAATAAAAATGCTTATAATAAAAACTATTTCATTGTACTTGTGTGAAAGAAGAAGTAAAATATAAAATCATTTCATGGATGTATAAAGCACGTGTTTATAACCTTAAATACATTTGCTGTAGTTTATTGATTATAGATCTGATATTATATTTAAACAATTAGGTATCAGCGTTTATTCCGAAAAATTGTCATGTAACTCTGGATCAAATCAAATCAGAGAATAATTTGATGAATCTTCCCTTCCTGATATTCCAACAGTATCCATTATTATTTCATTGTATTTGTGTGAAAGAAGAAGTGAAATATAAAAATATTTCATAGATAACCTTAAATATATTTACTGTAGTTTAATAACTCTAGATCTGATAATATATTTAAATATTTAGGTATCTATCATCCGTTTATTCCAAAAAATCATCATGTAACCTTATAGAAAATTAAATTAGTGAATAATTTGATAATTTCCCCTTTGCAATATTCCAACAGAATCCACTTACAATTAGTGTGACAACTTTTGACCTACCTGTGTATGATGGACAATGCAATTCTCTTAATTTTGTTTTAATAAACTTTGCAATGGAAAATAACAGTTAAATAACTAATAGTCGTACAGTCCATAATGAATGGATTAAACAATCCATAATCAACGAATCGTACAATCCATAATCAACTGGTGATATAATAAATAGGACTTTTGTTATTTTAATAGTATTTATGATTTGTTAGCTGCAGTCTTTTAGCTTTAGCTCAGTTAAAAATGCAATTACAAAAATTTTATAATAGCCCGGACATGGCCAGAAAATAATTTCTGTTCAAAGTTGAGCAAAGTTCAAAGAGTAAGTGAAGGTTGGGTGTTGTGCGCACCAGATTTTTTCAATTATCTACCTCATTCAAGTTTGAAGTTGTGAAATTACCCAAATAATTTCACCAAATAGTTTTTAATTAAAATAAAAATGAGTGGCTTCATATCAAAGATGTAAATCTGTCATTATCAGAAATTGAAGAAGAAGTCAATTTTTATTTTATAGGTTCAACTCAAACTGTTTCTGATGATTTTATTTAAGAATATTCAATTTTAATCATGAAAAACAATCATTAGAAGCTATGTTACAGAAAATGGACTTTTTCTCAACTTTTTAAAAATGACAGATGTCTTGATATCAAGGCACTCAAATAAATTATAAAATGTGTTTAATATTATTACCCAACAAATTATTTTCCCCATCTGTGACATTTGATAACTCCTTAATGACATTTACAAATTTGAATAATTTATAAATATTGTCTCTTGCAGAGGAGGAAAAGAGATTGATGGTTAAAGAGGGGATATCAATTCCTACTCACTATCCTTTAACGAAACAAGAGGAAAGGGATTTAAAGAGGATTAGGAGGAAAATAAGGAATAAAATATCTGCCCAAGACTCAAGGAAAAGAAAGAAGGAATATGTTGATGGCCTAGAAGACAGGTCATTATTTTATTCCTTAAAATATAATATTTATTCTTTTTCTAACTTCTAATAAATACTTTTTTTTAATCTAGATCTACAGTTTTATTTAAAATTAAATATTTTTAATAACTATTTATTTGAGATTATAAAAAAAAAAAGTTATGATATTCCATCCATTTATTACGTCTATTACTAACATTTGCTGACCTCTGTAACTTTTGTTTTGTAAAAAGTCAGCATTGAATAAAAATGTGTCAAAACAGTTTTACTGACATAGCAGTTTTCTAGTTTTCCTCATGCCTTCAATGTACTTCAGCATATTTTGTAACCTTATAATAAATGGTTTAAAGGATACATTAATTTTGAATTTATTAATTAATTTATTTTCTTAATTACTTTAAAATGAACTGGACGAACAATAATATTTTTGTTGTTAAAAGATATTTTACTATTAGGTCTATAAGTCTTAGCTGTCAGATTTATTTTCATTACATAACATAAATCTTATTAGGTTCTGTTCTATGGTATCCATTGATCTTTAAAATGATCTTATGTAGTCTCACTCCTATTAAAAAAAATATATATAGAAATATGTTACTTTCCTGTCATACTCATTTTCTAGTCTTCAATAATTGAAATGTAATTATTATACATCATATACTTATCTCACGATTGTCATTGTTATAAATTCCAATTTCAATGTTTATTTTAAGGCAACAAATTTTTTGCTAGTCGTATTTGTGTTATTATTTTTTATAGCATATAAAAATAATGTTTTATTTTTTAAACTTTTAGATCATTGCAAATTCAATGAAAAGAAGTTAAGAATATTGCCATATTCGTAATAATAAACACTTCTAAGAAATGTACTGTCTGTTTCAACTGTAAAATAAATAGCCTTAATCCATAGTGTAAAAAGTAATTTAACGAAATTTTAGTTTTTGTTTTTTTAATTTTCTTGTATTTGTTTTATATTATGTTTTTTAGGAGTTGTTTTATATTTGTTGATATTGCGAGGACAGTACATATTGCCAAAAAATAAGATTCACAACATAAATAATTTTATTTTAGACATAGACTGAGTTCTGCTTGAGAATTAATTTTTTATCTTCTGATAGTTTTATTTCAAATATGGAATTTAATTTGCACTTTTAGATGGGCCTATGTCCAAGCAAATACAGGTTAAGTTATTAAGTAGTGGGTTCCAGAACTTATAGACAGTTTCACAGCAGCCAAGTCCTTCTAGCTAACACTGTGAGTGGTGTTGGTAAGCAGGCTAACGCATGTGCACAGCTCTGCCGTTGCCTGGCAACCTGATATATGAGATAATCGATAAAAATTATTACGAGTTCACTTCCCGGTGCCAAGAGTAACCTTTAATTCTAGCATAAATCCCCCGCCTTCAACCCCTAGCCCAGGAAAATCCTGTATAGCCTAAATAAATAATAATGAATTGCCTAAAATAAATAAAAAGTAGCTAACTCTATATATTTAAGGTTATTGTGTCATAGAGTTCTAAATTTGATTATTTCCCATTGATTATTTTCTTTCTCTTTTTTTAAGAATATCAGTATAAATGGACCTATTCATAGTTCAGTTTATTAATAGAAGGTTCTCTCTTCTTGTTTAACCATTAAATGCATAGTTTTTCTTTAAATTCAATTTCTTCTATACAATACTTAATTACTACCCAACAATGCTACAGCATCTATGAAATACTAATATAGCTCTTTCTGTTTCAATTATTTAGTTATGTTAGTATTTAATTGTGAGTGTCCTGTATTTTGAAATGACCTTTATGCTAAATATTTTTTTCAAAATTCTAGGTAATGCAATTGAAATACATATTTGACTGTTTTGAAAATTTAAATACAGTTAATGTTTAAACAAGAAGTAATAAATAAAATATTTAACAATAATATAATTCAATAGAGATAATTAAATAATCATTAATACAACATATTCTTCCTGTTCTGTTATATTTTAATAATTTTAATTTTTTACAAAAGTCAACATATTGTATAGGAAGAAAATATGTATCTTTATTTTCTCATTTCTGTATTTTTATTATTTAATATTTAAATAAAAAAAAAAGAAATATCTGATATTCAGCACTTAACAAAAAGTTATTTTTGGCTCATACCTCTCTTCTGAGATAACATATTTTAAGAAGAGGTTTTGAACATTTATTCTCTATCATGTTTCATTTTCCCAAGGTCTCAATATTGAAGGCTGACAAATCCTTCACATCATTGCTCAAGTTTATAATAGTTGAGTGGCTGCATTTTACTATTACATTATTGCTGATACTGGGTGGAGAGAATTTATTTGATTTGTATAAATGAATTTATTTTGTTAAAGAAATTGGTGTTTTTTATACTGCCATATTCTACTGGTTTTGACTTTAACTTGTCTTTTAATAAAAAAAATAAAATAATAATAGTAATATAATGTTTATTGTCACACACACATACACAGTCCCATGATTGTAAAATTAACTCGAGTTCTTTTGCTATCATTTTAAATTAGTGATTTTGAAATTAAAGCATGTTAAAATATTTAATTAATCTTCAAATATTGTAGGTATTATATGAATAATACCTGAATAATGATTATTGTGGATGAAAAAATACAATGATTCTATATGTGCAGTCTATTAACAAAAAGGTAGAATCCCATTTTTTTTTTTTTACCTCCATATTTGAAAATTTGATTGTATAGGAAAAATGTATTTGACCAAAACTTTAATTTGTACTTTTAAACCAAATATACAAAGAAGGTAGACTGACTCGTTAGAAAAATAATATACCAATTTTATAACTTTAAAGATTTTCATATCTTCAGGACTATTAACTTTTTAAGTGTTTTGCCAAAGTTTTATGCTAAAAGATACATAACTTTGTATTTATTACTTTATCAATGACACCAAAATGCAAGTTTGGCTAAGTTTTATTGTGATGTCTAATAACTAAATTGTCAATTTATAGTGTCTTACTACAATAAATTTACCTTCGTTATTGGAGAAGATTGTTAGTTAGAGGAGCATTCGTAGATGAGATAATACAGATAGATAGATAGTTAGAGGTGCATTTGTAGATGAGATAATATAGATAGAAAGATAGAAAAAAAAAACTTTATTCTGGGACAAAGTCCCTTTAGAATAACAAAATTGTACAAAAAGAAAAGACTACTATTGGCCTAAAAGTTCGAAACTATAAATAAAATTTAAAAAATTAACTGAAAAGTAAAGAAAAGCTTAAGTGAACAAGCTATACACAAAACAGATAAAAATATTTTAAAAACATTTAAAACTATGTACAAAACACTTAAAACTATGAACGAAACACTTAAAAACTATGAACAAAACATTTAAAACTATATATAATGGTAGAACAACATAAATATACACTCTAAGAAATAAAGAAAGAAAAAGAGACAAAATATAATGTTTTTTTCTTGAAAAAAACTTTAATTGTATACATAAAAAAGATAGTGATAATTGAATTTAAAAAAATAGATGTATTGAGTGGCGTCAAAAGTAGGAAATACATGTACTATTTCTAACAAAAAACAGTATTATTATATGATTATATAATTGCTATGCAATATACATATAATGTCAATAGTTAGCAGGTATCTGACTGTTTTTGGAATTGGAGGTTTTTGAATGTGGACACGAAGGGGGCATGCCGAATTTTGATAGGGGGGAAATTCCAGAAGTTGACAGAGCAGCCTATAAAGGAGTTTTAGAATGAGGCAGATCTATGAGAAGGGGTGTATAGGTCAGAAGGCTGAGATTTTGTGGTGAGGGAATGGACTGAGGACTGAATTAGAGAAGGTTGTAGGCATAAGAAGGACGATGATTATTAATGATTTGGTAAAGGAATGTATCTAGAAATATTGTCTTCTTAAGGAGGAGAAGAGCCACCATAACTCAGTATATTGGTGGGAGATACGTGACGTCTCTGGATCCCAATTACAAATCTTACAAAGCTATTCATAAGTCTTTGCAGTCTTATGAGGCCATCGTACACCACACAGCTGTAGTCAAAGTGGGGAAAGATGAGGAAGATTTTTTTTATCTATGACTGCACCTCCCTTACAATTCTTTTAATGGTCAACAATATCTCTACTGTTTTACATTTATGAATTTTAATCAACAATTCGAATAAAAAATGTTTTCTTAAGGTTGTGACTATTTGTGTCAGAGTAACACTCCTAGATGCAAAACTAATACCAATACTTGTTTAATATGTAACCTATAGAATTTTGGGATAGTTCATGTCCATGAAATATTTGAGAATAACTGGCTTTTAATATTACACAAGCTTTTAAATTTAGACAGTGTCGGTCTTAGACATTTGATGCCTCCTAAAAAAATCAAATTTATTTCTTAAGCTATTTTATATTATGTATTATTTGAATTTTATTTAATTTAACATTTCTCTCATACAGTTGCTTTATGGATAAACTAAAATTGGTTATCTTAATATATTTTTTTTTAAATTTCTAACAAGTAGCAAGTGCCCCTGAAGATCGGTCGGCGTCCCGAGGCAATTGCCCTTACCACTTGGCAATTTCATGATCCATTTCCCGGGGCTGCCGAAAAGTAACCAGCCCAGGTGGGAATCGAACCCACAATGTTCAGAACTGGACACTCTGGAACCCACGCCCTCAAGTGCTCTGCCCTCCCATGCTCTACCTGACCCTAAGGCCGGCACTGAATTTAGAGAAACTTTATTGTCTTGTTGCATTAAAACTAACATGTCCTCTAAATCAATTAATTTTTGTTTTATCTTTTAATTAATTCTTTTTCTAATTGAAGATTGTTAAAAAATAGTTAATTAGCATTGCTTTACGTTATACAATTTAAATAAGCACATAATTAGAGACATCTGAGAATATTTAAATATACTTCCGTATAGTTCAAAATTATATAATTTAAACGAATATTTTTTACTATCTTTTGTTAGGCTTTTAAGTTATGTACATACATTTTTAATATGTTTTAGTTTAATTGCATTATTTGAATGAAAAATGTTTTATGTTTTAGGGTTAAGCAGTGCTCTGTCGAAAATGCCAACCTCATGAAAAGAGTGAAAGCATTACAAAATGAAAACCAAAGTTTAAGTACTCAACTCCGCCGGTTACAAGCTCTTGTGAGCCATGGGAGTACTCAACCAGGAACTTGCCTCATGGTTCTTGTTCTATCTCTTGCCCTAATCATGGCACCCAACATGAGGAATACTACGCGCACAGCAACAAATAATGATCTCTCAATCCCTGAACCCAAGTCAAATCTCCTGACAGGTATTTAACTTGTAAAATTCACAATTATTGTTTTATTATAATCTTAAAATATATTAAAATAAGTTTTTATTGCTCAGTATCTATAAAGCTAATTTTTTATTTTTCAAACACTTTTGAGAAACACCAAATTGACCTGTTGTGAAAGTTATATGTAACACCATTACCTTGTTTTTATGCTATACTTGGTTCAGTGTTGATTTTAATTGCAAATAATAATATTTTACTGGAAAATGAAATAGGGCAGATATTCATGCTGATGTAAATATCAGCACTAGTCATGAATTTTTAGTTAAAAGTTAACATATCACTAAACTGCGGCTTTTATACTCCATCAAGACCTGTTTTATATTCCATCAGACCTGTTACCTTCGCAAGAAGACTATCTGACTAAACATCAAAGACCCTTGTATTGTTATTTCTATAATGATCAGTGTATCTTAAAAGTTTAGGAACAAAGTGGGAAATGATTTGGATAATGGCATCCTTCCAAAATTATTTTGTTCAGCTGAACAAACTTCTACAATCAAAGGAGATGGATGAATAACAGCTTACTTTTGTGATATAAGTTTATTGTTTGATTGCTAAATGATGTTATTTTATTTTGCTTGACTTCTCATGACTAAATATTAGTTGTTCAAGTTGCTACTATCCCTTGTGATAAACTGCTAGATTCCTCCATTTTTTAAATATTTATTGAAACATGTCTTATATTTTACAAATAATAATAATAATGTAACCTCGGAAGATCACTTTAATACTTTTAGTATACTTCTTAAATAAATAAGAGTTTATTGAATAATAAACAAAATTATAAGAATATTAATATATTTATATATCTCAGGTGTGGGTTACTGACAATTAGATCAACTCTGACAAACTATTATTATTTACACATTTATACTGATTTTAAAGTCAAGTATGAATTGGCAAGCTAACCTTGTTTCTATATACACTGTTTCTTCCTTTTTTGCACTAAATTCATTTGTCTTCAAATGCTTTCCAATGTTCTGCCAAACACAACTTCCAAAATGGTAATACTATTACTGGGTTTTTCCCACTGGAGCTAGGATCACTTCTCCTATCCTCTCTTCACTACAGTCACACAACTCCTTGCCAAAACAAAAACTTTTGTTCCTCTGCTCTCTGGAATTTTCCTTCTTAGGAAACTAGAGCAGTCATTTTCTTTCCCCTGCACTAGTAGAACTAGATTAGCTTCCCTTTTAACTGTTGAACAGAGAGTAACACTTTATTTTCACATAAAATATAAAAACTTGCTGCCCAATTATATTGGGTTGCTATATGCACAACATACTTGTTAATCTGTAGGACAATAAATGAACTTATATACTTATATATAAATATATAGAAGATTTTAGTTTATATGAGTATGATATATATATATATATATATATATATATAATTTTTCTTCTTTTTTTTTCTTTCATTTCTCATGCATTTTTTTTTTTAAACATTTATTTTCCAAACTCTCTCTTTATGAACCTCTCCTATACACAATATTAAGATGCTTAAAATTATAGTAGAACAATAACAAAAAAACAAAAGTGTATACATCTAGAATTGAATAAAATTTGATATGAAACAATTATAATAGATATGTTTTCATTAAATAAATACTTAAATTACTGTCAGCCTAGCCATGCATGTGGTGGTGAATGATTCCCTGGAAATCGAGGACTATACTTTCAGCCAATCTCGCTACGTTTTTAATGTCGACATCTAGTTCCTCGAGGAAGCTCCTTGTTCTTTTTGGAATTGTTCCACGAGACTCAAACCAGAGGCCTTTCATGGTGAACTGTCTATCTCCGAAGTTCTCACGGAATTTCTCTTTTAGGAAAGAGATACATTTGTCGTACGTGTTCTTCTTTTCCCTTTACACTTTACCCGCCTGATCAAGGTCATTGCTCTCAAAGCGGACAGTTGGATCCAAGATTTCCGCTTTCTTTCCTGTTTTGGGAAATGCAACAATATTCTCGTATCTCGTAGAGCATTCACTATCGATGCAATATACCTCGTCAAAGCAGGTGAATTTCCTTTCCCTAAGGAGCCTCATCCACTCGAACTTGACCCGTTGGTCACGATATGTTATGAATCTCTGCTGCATTTATGGCAGAGGGACCCCACTTCTCTGACCTGTCCACTGACACCTGGGAGTCCACGCAGAGGTGCATAATTAATGTTTAGTTTTAGGGCATTCGACCATTCAGACCCAGAAAATACTTGCTTTTCGTAGATGTATCTGTTCGCTTTCAAATGGCGCTGTCCCTTTAAAATGGCGAACACCAATACCCTGCCACCTGCAGCTGGCCCATTCCTCAAATGAATTTTCTCGTAGCGACTGCCATAGAGCTCTCACATTTCGATGACTCTGATCAACCCCCAATCTCTCGGCACATTCAGCAACTTCAGCCGAATAATCTGAAATGTATAATTAAATAAATAAGTAAAAAGTTTAAAAACATCAATATCAATTGTATAAATTGTACGAATATAAAATCAATAAAAGGTTAAAAAGTATAAATCTATCAAATAAATTGCCTATAAATAAGTTACAATATAGAGTCAGTAAAAAGTTAAAAGTTAAAATTTAAAAACATTAATTGCCTAAAAATAAGTGAAAGTTAAAATCTAAAGAAGTTAAAAAGTTAAAATCTAAAAAATAATTACCTAAAATGAGTTACAATATAAAATCAATAAACTGTTAAAATCTCAAATAAATAAATAAAACAATAAAAATAATAATTGCCAAAAAATCAGAAAATAAAAATTTAAGAAGTTAAAATCTAAAATAGCAGCAATATATATAAATATATACACATATCCTCATCACATTAGTAAATTTAATATATTGTCTAGAGTATAAAATAAAATACAAAATATAAGATCATTAAAGAATTTAAAAAAAAAATCAATTCACCAATAATAAATAAATAAATTTGTACATATATTGGTCTACTTTAATAATTTGATTTAAAACGTCATAGAAATAAAACATTATGATAACAAACGCTATTTCTTTTTTTTTTTTTTTGTATTTTATGAGAGAAAGGGATCGAATATATAAACTAGGTTACAGTAAAATTAGTTGGGCTCCTTCGATGATTGTATCGATAAGACGACACTGATCTTGCTGGAGATGGTGGGGGCCGACATGTACCAGGCAACTGTACATGTACTGCAAAGCGATAAGAACTCCAGTCCCACAAGCACATCAACTTCGTTGCCTTCTGATTCTGGCCAATATCCTTGCTCAATTTTCATAAGATTTCATATGCAGGTCTTTAACACACAGCTCCGTCTAAGTGCAAAATTTCAGCTCAATTGGACGAAAAATACCCAATCATAGACGATGATGATGTGGAGCCAATCTTTCTTTCTCACCGGCTCGAGCCGAACTAATTTATTAAATCCTTCTTGCTCACTTCCAATAAAGGTGTAGATTACATTATGTTATATTATTAATATATCTACTTTTGAGTTTCTGATATGATTTTTCTTTGTATGTCTTGTTTAATTAATGATTTCTGAAATTTTGTATGTTTTCCTAATGTGATATTTATAATTTTAAATAATAGGCGTGAGAACGAGAAATGTTCTGTCAACAAAGTCAGAATTTCTGGAACCACCACTTGATGGCGATGGTATTGTTCCAGAGCACAGTATGACAAGAGGTGCTTCAGAACATGACCATGACTACATCATTACCCACCGTCCTCAGTCAAGGAAGAGGTTTGTGAGTTTATTATTCTCTCAAACATTAATTTTAAAGCAATTCTTGTACTATGGCAAAGTGACTAATATAGGAGTCACAAAATGCTTGGACCAAAGATATATAGATTCCAATTCATATCTTCACTAACTGATATTTAAGTTTATATATTATCTGGTTGTTCAAGAAATTATTATAGAAGCATATGATGTTATAGATGTGAATCATAAATTATTTTCCAAAAGTGGTAAATTATAATGTTTACTAATATAATATTTTATTCAGTTTTTAAATAGTTAATTTTATTACAATATTCAGGATCCCAAATTACATAATTTTAGTAACAATACCAACATGGATACTTAAATATCAATTATTACTGTTTTGTTTTTTCAGTTATATATACTGAAATAGAACTGTATACAACCAAAAAATTTTTTTTTCTATATTACTTTAATAACAGTAGAAAAAACTTAATCTTACAATGTCTTATTATTAATTTTTAACTTTAAAATAACATAATAAAAAAATTAAAGGAATTTGTTTAAGGAGAAGTAGCAAATTAAACTCTAGATGATTAACTGAGTGAACTGGAAACTCAAGTTGGCAAATGTTTTCTAAAAAGTTATCATAAATTACTAGATTTTTCCTCTGCTGTAAATTATACTAATTTTGCGTTAATTATTATCGGTGTGTTATATGTTTCAATTTTTTGTTCCAATCCAATAAATTTTCTTAACATAATAATTAATTTTTTTAATTTAAAAATTGACATGATTTTTTACAAAAATATTGAAGTATAATATGTGTTAATACAGGGTTTTTAGAGACATAGATATTATAGATATAGGTTTTTACAGATGTAGATATTACAGGATCACTGGGAAAAGTCAGAGAATTTCAAATAGGTATGAAAAATGATCAGAGAAATTGGTTGAAAATTCTGGAAATTTTACTGTCTTTTTCCCCTTTAACATTTTTTATAAACTTGATAGAATTTTATCATAAGAATTGTAAAATGACAATTTAATTAAATTATTTGCTTTAAAAAAATGTTAAGATAAAAAACAATTGTCTGAAATATTAAATTTTGGTATATATATCTTTATTCATTTTTCTCTTATTTTAACAACAGTTATTTCTTCAATATCGGTATATTTTTAATAATGGTGTTGGTATGTTTATTTGTTTTAATATTTAAAATAATTTGGTTGTTGCTGAAATTTTAATTTAATCTTTTGTAGTTAATTAAGATTTTTTTTTATTTTAGGTCAAGAGCTTTCATTGTTCCTCCATTAGATGAAACTTGGCCACCACCGAAAGCAGGTATATTAACCAAACGAAACAGAACTACCTCTAGGGTTGAGTCGATGGAACAACATATCCTAGAGGTAGAGGTCTCGTCAGAAATGTAACACATGCTGATCTGCTGCTGTTCCCTCTTATCTTTCTCCTTTTGCAGTTTTAGTTTTATTTTAGTTATAATTATTATATTAACAAGATTTTTATCAGTAGTTTCTCCTGGCGATATTTTAAATATCTGCAATCCTTTTACTTTGAAGAAGTCTCTAATGTGAATTTTATCAAATTCCATGTGATGACAAGTGTAGATTAAATTTTTTTTGTTTTATCTTTTTTGGAGAAACTTCTGAGTAAAGAGACTTGTTCATTTATTAATTGCACCAGACTGAAATTATGGATGTATTTATTATTTTATTTAGTTGTAACATAATTTTGAGTATGTAGTACAATTTTTTTTTTTTTATTCAGTTTAAATTATTGTTTAATTTTATATTTTGGAATGTTATGTGCAATTTTTTACATTGTCCTGTGTTATTGTTTCAAAGTACTGTGTACTGTAACAATCACTTGTATTTGTAAAATATTATTTTGTTAAAATTTTTCCTAGTTTATTAGAAAATTGTTTTAAATTTAATTTTATTTACTATTATTTGTTTTGTTGTGAAACATTAATTTATTACATTCCTTGGAAATTTATGTTTGAATTATATAATTGTGACCCAGATAACTAAATAGGGGTCAAAGACTGTTTCTAAACTTATTCAGATTAATTAATAAAATAAATGAAATCGTAAAGAGTGATAATGCTTAAAGTATTACATTCGTAGACAAAGATTATAGTTTCCTTGATAGTAACTAGATAAGAAGAGACATTTTGTCTAATATATAATTAAATATATGTATTCTATTCATTGTATCGAGGATTGAGTCAGTGTGACGATTCCTAGATGTGAAGGTCTCATCAGAAATATCACGTACTGATTGAGATTCTTTTGTATTATCTCCTTTTAATAGTAATCAATATATTAATTATATATTAGGTTTTTAATATTATATTTTTTTATATCATAAAAAATCTATTTTCAACAAATAAATTTTTATTTGCGGGTATTATTTTATGTATATAGTTTCTATTAATAGAATTTTATTGTATCGATTATATATTGGAAATCCACTCCATATGTTATTTCTTTTGTAAATAGAAAATTTGTTATATATTGTTATATTTCTTATATGCTTTATTTAACTTATATATATATCAACATTTCTGTTTTAATTTCTTGTTAAGATATAAATATCGTTATAATTTGTGATTTAAAAATAGCTTTCTTAGAATTTTGGGGTTGTAGATACTGCCTAATTTAAACATAGTTTTACAATTTTCATATGAAAGATAAGAATTATGTATGCGACTTTTGATCTTCGGCTTTTCATATATTAAACTGTATAAACAATTTCTTTCTATTCGCCAGAAAAACAAAAGAAGGTTCATACCATCATTCCATTATCCTTCTTTCTCTTGTTTTCTTTATTACATTAATAATAAATTAAAAGACATTTAGTTTTAGTTATATGCGTAAAGGGAATGGTAAAAATGTTCTGTGCAATATTTTAGAAGTTACTCTGTTTATTGATAATGTATCAATAATTTTTAACACCAATGATTCTATTATAGAAGTTATTTTTATTAATTGAGCGTATAAGAGATGGATTATTCTGAGAAAACAAAGGTTGGGTTGGTCTGTTTATACCCGATGATATGTTATTTTATAAGTGTTTACAATTCATATAATGTGAATTGTGGTATAAGCAGCTCAAATCTACCTTGGTATCTTAACTCAGAAACAGCTGCTATTAAAATCCTAATATGGTTTTAAGGAAGAAATGAATTTGAAATACGGTTGAGTTCGGTTTCTCACCTCATCATTGACCACTAAACCATAATAAGCCTTTAGAGAGTGTTAAAAATTATTCTTATAAATCTTTTTTTCTAAAAAAAAAAAAGATTTGTAATTAAATAATCTTGAATAATTGTACTTAGATTATATTCTTAATGTTTTGAAGTTATAAAGTTATCATGATCTTGCATTCCCTATTTTTATTGTATCTACACCAACATTATGTGTGCTATTATGTTGTAATTGGGGTGGATAAGGTGAGGAATAATATTGAAATGATGCATAAAACAAAGTAAACAGCAGCATGTTGGACTGGAGGAATTATGATTTTTTTTATTTAATACCCATTCTTCACCTATTATTGTTAAACCTGAGTTTAAAAACTTTTCATTTTTTAAGTTTTATTTACTTATATAAAAAAACTGAATTTAGTCATTGCCTTTGCAATGAATAGAAAATTGAATGAAAAGCTTAAGTTTAATTTCATAGAAAATTAGATTACGGAATTAAATATTTGTATCCATTTTTTTACTAAATTAAGAACGACTAAAGAAATTGAAACAAATAACTTCAGGAGTGCACTAAAAATAGTAAAACTTTTTTTTATAATGACAGTATAGAAAAGTTAAACCAATATTTTGACTATCACTCACACTTGACGGTTTATTAATGGATCTTTGCTGCCTCAAGAGTTGTCAGAAGAAATGGATCATTGTATAGATATTCTCAAAATTCAGAATTTTGTATGTATCAATAACAGCATTAATATTCAAATTAAAAATAATATCTGGGCAAAATTTAATTTTGTTTATTGCATCAAAAATGGGTAAAGGCTCTATTATATTCCCACTTTAGGAATTTTTAGCGATAAAACAAGCAACAAGTAAAAAAACTTTGAGAACTGTAATCAACATCCACATTTGATTTGAAGTAAATCTTAAACTATATTATTTTTAGAAGATAACACATTGGGATGTTAAATCAACTGAATAAAAAAAACAACATGCATCTTTTATATACATGCCTATGTTTATAAGCTTCAATACCAAATTTACTATCGTTCTCCTATACTCAACAATAAAATTATTAAAGAGGGTATCGGTCAGTTATTCCGATTCATCTTAATGTATAGTTGCATAAATATCCAGGTTTAAAATTATAAATAAAATAAAATCGTATAATTAATAAAATATCATGTTACACATTTAACTTTGTTTTAAAATCTTCTCCATTTAGGAAATTTACAGCTGACAAAATAATTGCATAGAAGATTGGTAATCCTTATGAACTTTGGCATCGCAGTTACGAAGAGTTAATTGGACATTTGATCAATTTTTTTCCACCAAAAGGCTTCTAAGGCATTTATATTATAAGCAGGTACAACAGGTGTTGCTAACTTTGTCCTGATTTTTTGTATATTATGAGTGTTAAACATTGATTTGTTACTTGAAAAAAGCAATTCTACAGTTGTCAACATCTGTTGGCTGAAAAACTCTAGCATTAATTTCCCCTCTTCTCTGATCAGGGATACACCCCATATAGCTGAAAAGGAGAGGAAAAAAGAATATTTATAGCCATATTCTATTGTGTTTACTTAAATAATAGTAAATTTATAAAATTTTAGAAATGCAAAAAAAAAGCGGCCTTCACTGAAGATTCATTCTGAACCTCAGTACTTCAAGCTGTACCTCTGGAGTTTGCAATTAGTTGATAAATAAGATATTTATCATATTCCATGGGCTGACGTCCCTCTCTCCCAAAATGGTGAAGTATACCCATGTCTTTTAAAAAAAATATTAAGTTATCTCTAAAAGGTTTATTGTTCATTTAATTAAATTTAACAGGACTACAAGAATCACTAATTATGGATTAATTATCATCGGTGTGTTACATGTTTCAATTTTTTGTTTTATCCAATAACTTTTCTTAACTTAACAATTAATTTTTTTAATTTAAAAATTAATCAGATTTTCACCATTTCATATAAACAGTTAGCTTCTTTCTTCTTCTTCCAAAGTATTATATAATATAATAGATTAATAATATATATATTTTAATTATAAAAGTGAGGAGGGCAATACATGCGCCATCAGCCTTGGGAAGGACGGGCACCCCCTACTATATATATATTCAGATATATATATATATATATATATATATATATATATATATATATATATATATATATATATATATATATATATATATATATTACTATATATATATAGATATATATATATCTATATTACTATTATATATATATAATAGTAATATAGATATATATAAAAGATTTTAGGCTGAAGTCCCCAAAATTAAATCACTAAATTTAGAAAGAAAATAATTTTTATCAAAAACTGATAAAATAATTATTGATAGATTGCTTCTCAGCCATTGAAGTTTTTTGCTATTTAATGAAATTTAATAAAATAATAATAAATAAAATAAAAATTAACATATCAATGTAAAACAGGACAGTAAAAATGAATAAAGAAATGTTTAGTATTACTCAGATTAGTAACCTATTTTCAAAAGCTATATATGAATCATCACTTGAGGACCCAGGATTTAATTTTGGGGGGCTTCAGTCCGAAACTTTTTTTTTTCCATATACATGACAATAATTATTATGGAAAAAAATGAAAGATACTAACTACCTATATGAAATGGTGTTTGTGTGATTCTTGAAGTCCTATTAAATTTAATTACAAGAACAATAATACTTTAAGAAATAATTTTTTCCATAAAACATGGTAACATTTTACCATTTTGTGGGAGAGCTTCAGCCAGAAAGTCTCCTTCCTCCTCCCTCCCCCCCCCCCATAGATTCACCTGTTTGAATCATAAATTCCATCAGGATACTCTTCACCTTATTTTTTAAATTATAATTTATGCAACAATACTTATAATATTTAAATATGTCATTTATTTTTAAAATTGAAGACAATTAAGAAAAATTAAACTAACATAAAAATTATTATGTTTTAGTAAATTTATTTTTTTGTTTGATCTGTTGGTAATACTCCAGTGCTTACCGCTTTTTTTCTCTAAGTCGTAATTTCAATACAGTTGTATTTATTCTTTAATTTTTTCCATTATTCATTTTCATTTCAGTGCGGTAGATGCTTTGTTATATTATTTTTTTGAGTTTTATGGCAATTAACTAAGTCAACATCAACTAGTGCATCTATGGGTCAAGTGAAGTTCTTTATTAACCTGGTAAGAACTCTCTATACTTTTATACGTTTATTCGTTAGTTTTAATTTAAGATGTAGTAATACAGTTTAAATAAAATTCACAACACTTTTGTTTTATTTCATTTACCGTTTTGCTATAATACAGCGTTAGTGAGTTACTATATAATACAGTTTTGTTATTTTTCTCTATGCTACATTTCCACGTTATTTTTACTTTCAATTATTTTAGTTATTGAGTTTAAATAACTAAGTCGCTCAAAATGGTCAGTGTTTGTGTGAACAATCTAACTCAAAAACGGAAAGTAGGAAACTGATGTTACGTATATAAGTTTTTTATATGGTTGGGATGTTATAGCAACATTTTCCTTAAAATAAGTTTACCAGAAGTGCCACTTAATGTGTCAATTTCTTCCTCTTAAGTACCTTTAATTTTTTTTTAATTTTAAATAATTAACCATTTCACATTGAAAACTAATAAGAACAAAAATGGTTATATGCAATGAATGAAGAAAATTGATAGGAAACTAAAGTAGAAATAAGGGTAGAAAGCTATTAGCTTATGCCTATATAAACAATATAAGAAGCTCGGCTGTTAAGCCGAGAGCGGCCGACCTTTCCGATCCTTTCCCTGTACAGATACTCGATTGTCCTCTGTACAGAGATTTCATATTGTTAGTTTAACTCACACAGGCGGATCTACGGGGAGGGAGGATGGGCTTTCGGGCTGAGGCCCCCCAAAATGGTAAAATGTAAAACATGGTTTTTATGGTAAAAAATTATGTCTTAAAATATTATTGCTTGTTTAACTACACTTAATAGGACTTCAAGTATCACTTAAACACCATTTCATGTAGGTAGTTAGTATCTTTCTGTTTTTTCCAAAATAATTATCGTTATATATATATATATATATAAAACTTCCGGGCTGAAGCCCCCTCAAAATTAAATCCTGGATCCGCTAGTGGTTTAACTGTAATGTATGACTTATCCATCATAGCTTTAGATTAATGCTCGAACTACCAACAATTCTCAGTGATGATAATAAATTGTAGAATTGGTCTTTGAATTTTTAAAAATAAATAATATGATATTTGAAATATGAAACACAATCGACAGTAGATTACGAGAAAAAATAAAAGAAATATTTGTATGTACGTTTATACGGATGTGTGTTTGTGTGCGCGCGTATGAGTATGTTTGTAAATATTAAAATATAAATGAGAAAATAAATTAAACAGAAAAATGGCGTTGATGACCACTGAAGTTTTTTACCCCACTAAAAAACAAAACAAACATCCATAATTTTTTAAATGGGCTTTCACACGAAATATTGAGGAATTACTAATATAAACCTTATAATATGCAATATTTACTAGCGTTAAGATATCTTCTCGACGAGTTTCGTGATAAATGTTTTCGATAAAATTCTAAAATGGTAAAGAAGTGTTCCTTACAATCATTAATATTTCAGTTACTCATTAATATAATGTTTGATACTACTATACACAGTCGTAAAAGAAAATTAAAAAAGATGCAAACGTTTAAATTTAACCAATTCGATGGGCGAGAAAAACTTAATAATTAACTGTTTTAAATGGAGTTATACCGCCGTTTTCACTTTTATTTCCCCATATATGAATGTTGGGATTTGAAATTAAGTCCTTTCAGTGTAAAGATTTTTTTTCTTCAATTCACTTAACAAATCTATGTGAAAAGCTTTGAATTCTGGATGGATAATCAAAGTCAAATGTGCAATAAGGAACCAAATTTTTTTTTTTTACTTTCACTTATTTATATTTTTTTATTTTAGCCCTTCCGCAAGGGTTTTAAATCATGCATATTTGGATACGGTGGGAGTCCAAGTAGGTTGGAGAGGTAGGGGAAGGAAGGTTGGACGATAGTTTTGAAACGTCATTGTATAGCAGCAAACTTAAAGATGATTTAATGGAGGAAGCATTAGTTTTAATGGCTATAAAAATAGTGCAAGGGCGTAAGCAGTTTTCATATTAGAGAGGCAAGAATGAATCAAGAAAAATCTCTTGAAGATAGATCATAATCAACTCTATAATATTATACTGAGCAGTTTATTGCTATTGCAATATACACACATTTTTATATGAAACACAATATATACACAAAACAACAATTTAAAAAAATTATATTTCTTGGATGTTTGGCATACCTCTTGTATTTTATTATGTTTTATTTTATTTTAAATTATTTAGGACCACCCCTTCGTCTGCCCTACCCTATGTAAGTCTCTGAATTAGTGGTTTATTTCTAAAAAAATAATACATAAAACGCCAGCAGTAATGAGAAAAGAATGGGAGGAACGAAGCAGAAAGATCAAACGGCACCGTTTGAAATCGGGCTTGGGTGGGTTGAAATTTATTTATGGGCGGACTGACAGAATGGAGGACGTGATGCCCAAACACTTTAGGAGATGGGCTCCAGTGAACCCGATTTCGAATGTGGGTTCGATTCCCACCTAGGACAGTTAATACTTATTTCTCGGCGTTCCTATGATTGCTATCTTGACATTCTAGTTAATAGGTGGCGGCACCTAGAGGTTGCCGTTAGGGTTCGGCAAAAATGACCACCATGCCCACTTGTGGGACTAGTTCCCCCAACAGCATTTGTGCCGGGATCCTTATCAATCTTATTAATGATTATCTATCTTATCACTCTGGTTAGATTGGCCATATTTGGAGAAAATATTATATACATGATTTGTGAAGATTTTTTAAAAACCATTACAACTTTTTTCATAATTATATTTCTTATATATGTTAGTGACTATATTATTTACTTGCCAAGGCTAGTTTAAAGGATACATACTGTCAGTGTTTAGTATTACCACGTAACTGTGTCTATTTCTTAACTTTCTCTGTATCTGCTTATCACTATATATTTTACTGTCCTATTTTAATTGTGAACTATCAATTATCTTTCTATAGTTTGGTTAAACCTTATTCTATGTTTATTTGTTATTTTCTGTACTTTATTCTGGAGCTAACTTACCTGTTATAGTCAGAGTAGAAAAGTCGAGATTTATTTCGTTGTTATACCATGAAATAAATAGCTACAAAAAATAAAATAAATAAGTCCCATTAAATTTTTCCGGGAATAACTCCCTCTACCATAGGCGCAGACTTCGGGAGGACAAGGGGGCAATCCCTCCCTCCCCCCCTCCCAATAAAAATTATAATCAAGTTTTACCAACAACAATTTGAAATACAAGAAATACCAATGACCTTCGGGATTGAGGCATTACAATAATCGATGCATTCAATTTATACATACTAATAATTACATACTTGTAAATAATATTCTGTGTATATTTAGTAACTTTTAGTACTATGTTTTTCAAGAGGACTTAATGTACTTATATATATGGCGTCTTTAAGGGATAGACCATGTTAAATAATAGGAGGAGTTAGTACCGGGTTTCGGAAATTGACATTCATTAGACGAAATGCGAGGAACATGGTGGTTTTTATATTTGTGCGCTAAAAATAAATTATAAATATTTTTATATGATGGAATTTATAGAATTTTAGTTGAATTTTAATAGCTTGAAACGTTGTCATTA